ACGTCAGAAAATATTGTATGTCTAAGGCTTTAGTTTGTTAAAAATAAAATTAAAATATCCCAGAAATAAAGGAATTTTCCTTATTTTAAAATATAATTATTATACAATGATAACTTTAAATTAATCAAATTTATTTTATTATTATTATTCATTTATAATGAATAGCAAGTTAACTATCAATTAGCGTTTATTGTTTACAATAAAATACTCTTTAGTGTTAAATAATATTATTTCCTATAAAATTTACCTACTATATTCATAACTATTATGTTCTAGTAACCGTAAACTTTGTCAAGGCTTAAAATGTAATATAAGCAAGTGTTCATAGTTATTCCATTAAATCCAGACTCTGAATAATAATGAATCTTAATGCCATTCATTATTAATTAATTTTTACAAACTGGGTTAGTGGTACTAAAATAAAATATTTGTCTATTTAATGTAGTGATATTTTAAATTTTGCGGGCTACATACATTCTATTTTTGTATTTTTTTTTTTTTGTATTGTTGGTACATATGTACACCCTAACATATGTTTATATTGTAAGCCATTTTACATTCTTAGTTTATTGTTAGCAGTTATAAATGTCACACGCGTTTTTTTAAGTTTGACAGTTTTTTACAAAAAAAATTAAATTGAATATGTACATTGTAACAGACAGTTTAAAATGATTAGATTAATTGTATTTTAATAATTTTTTTATAAATATAGTTATATCCATAATTTCTCAAAAACCATTAAATTATTTTTTTTTCATTGTACAACAGAACTTTTATTATTAAATATAATATATTTTATTATACTAGTGTGAATACACAATTTACAAAACTAATAAATACTAAAAATAATTTTCTAAACATAATTATTATAAGAGAAATCAAGTGTCTAATGTTTAAAATAGTCATCTAGTACACGTATTTTTTTAGCGGGCAACAATTTATATATAATTTGGTCGTTTGCAATTTGTTGATTGCCATTTCAACAAAAATGAGGGTGTGGTGATTGGTGGTCAGGCAGTGTGAGCGTTAGTAGTTATTGACTGTCTAACTGTGGTCATAGTAATAAACAAATGCACGCGATTTACGTTACCCCTAACGCCGCTCCAATGTACATGAACACAGAAATTAGAGAAAGAAGGACAAATTTTAAGGCAGTATAAAGAACATATAATTACGTACAACAATGTAACCAATTGTAACAAAATAATTATTCAAGAAATTGTATATTTTGTTCAGAAATATGATTTGTATGTACAACGTCGGTGTAGGCTACAATCTTTCAGAAAATCATAAAATAGATTTGCGCATAAAGAACATTTCTATGATTTAATAACTATATAAAACTGTTAAAAGCGGTTTGCTTAGGATTATCATTGTAACAAATATTCATATTATTATATGATGTTGTAAAATAACGCAAAGTTTGTTGAACGTTCATTTAACGGTTACAACCTAATTTTGGTAAACAGAAATGATGATAAGCAGCACATTCATTACTATAATGTTGGTAAGAATATTAGTTTAGCGACCATTAATAAATTATCGGTTAGGTTTACACGAATACGGTACCGTTTTCATGGGAATGTATCGTAGTCACCACTGAACTGGATTATTGTCGATGCGACCGCATTAACAACTATAAAATAATGCTAAAATAAAATGACAAAGAAAAAAAACAATATCCCGTTCGCTTCGATTGCCAGCGGCACGTTTTATTTTAACAATTGTGTGATGGTTCAATCGGATATCCGACAATAAATAATTATCGAATTTATTATTCAACCATTGCTGATCATGTTTTAGTGTCGATTGTTTCAGAAAGATAAGCTTTTGTGGTGTAGTTATATCCTAAAAAGCAACAACATAAACAGATTTACCACTAAATCTATTGATATTTCGGGGTTTACTATGAACGTAATTGTTTTCTTTTAAAAACGAAGTCAGAATCGTTTTTAAAGGAAAACAATTACATTAAATATAATGACTACCCAAACTATGTCCATGTTAAGTCTTTCGTTAAGAACAGGTATATTCGAACATTAACCTAATATTTAATGAAACAAGACACAATATTTATTTCTTCAGTGTACAGAGTGATTCATTTATCATATTCGACTCACTTATTTTTTCGGCTTTTTTATTTACACATTTTAATTAATTATTGAGTACATTTCGGTTCATACCCTATATTTTATAGGGACTTAGGCTTTATTTTTTTAAATAGTAACGTATATATTTAACTACTATAAGAAATGATCTTAATAAGAAAATTTCAGGTCAATAACAATTCAACAACCAGTACTCCGGATATTATTCGGATATTACCTAGGTGGTAAGTGAAGTCTGAACGAGAAATTTATATAAATATAAATATTAAATATATTTTTATTAATTTATATAATAAAAAAAGCACATCATAGTAAAATTAATACATTCTCAGCTTTGCATCGAAGCTAAAATAGTAATACCTTCCGAACTACTAATAAGTGCTTATAAGTTTCAAAAATTGTTAACGACCAGTCATTTTCTTTATTAGATCATTCTCTGTTATAAAATAGTTAAATATATATGTTGTCATNATTCTCTGTTATAAAATAGTTAAATATATATGTTGTCATTTAAAAAAATAAAGTTTATACCCTCATAAGATATAGGGGATGAACAGAAATGTACTTAATAATTAATAAATCAAAAAATATATGTAACTAAAAAAAAACAAACAAAATTATTTTTAATTATAAATAATTGAGTGGTTAAAATTAAAATTATAGCTAATGAAAAAAATAAAAATGATTAATTATATATTAAATTTTAACTTAAAACGAATCATCATTAAGGTCGTTAGTTTTAAAAAACAGTATATGTAATATAATATTAATTGAAAATTATAATTTGTTAAATAATTGCTTTTGGTTTAATTATTATTATTATTATTATTATTATTATTGTATTTAATGTATGATTTACATTGTTTAATGTATGATCGTAGCTTTATAGTTAGTATTCTCATTAAATGTTAAATTTATTAAAATTAAAGCTTATGAACACAGATTATAACACCAAACTTTTGGATACTATGAGTTTTTCCATTATAAATTCTCGGAATATATATCTATAAAAAAAAAGTGTTAATAGAATTTTTTTAATAGTTAATACTATTAATGGTTACGAGTAAAAATATTTTGATAGAATGTAATATTCAGATATGGATGTGTTATTATTGATTTTTACTCGAAAATAATATATTCTGAAGTGTTAAGTTCCTGTTGGGATGCATCATCAAAAACAATTTACGTTATTGCGGTTGAAATCAGACCACACAATGTATAGGTATGTACGTGCTTTCGGCAACTACTGAAAAACGTGTACAGTTAAGTTGAAGAAAAAAAGGAAGATAAAGTTATTTTCGCTATGCACTACAAGTGTCTTTTCGACCCTCTACTAAGAATCAACGCAACAGGGTTGAAAATAGAACCTATTGTGTACGTTTTTCCCTCTACCGAGTTGCCCACTTTGACCGCCAATGTGAATTTGATGTATTCCTATGCACATAGAAAAACCATTTACAATCCACGCCGGTTTAACTGATATTGAGTAAAATGAGAACTATAAGGTTGAGCAGCTTAATAAATATTTATTGAATTTCATGTGAAACGCTCTTTGAATATGATAACTACTAAAAAATAACCGAATTGTTTATTATCGAATACAGTTGTACGCTACTGATATAACTTCATGAATAAAAAGATACGGAAAATCCCTATACCTATAAAATCCAATCTACTTATCTATTATCCATTGGACTTTGGTCAGCGAAATAAATTATACTTTATTGAAATTGGGTAGATTTGAATAGCTTAAAGATGACATTATTTACTACAAGTTTTTTATCCATATAATCCATTTGTTTAAAAAATTGGTTTGAATATGTTTTAGAATTTAAAACCCAACTTTTTTACTTAAAAGTTTTGAAACATAAATAAAAAACAAACATTTACTCCTGTGTACAAAGTAACTTTCAAAGAGATCACTGTAAAAAAACAATTTAGAAAATAGTTCACATAAGTATTCTTACAAATAAAACGCCGCTATTTAGTACTTAAGACAACAAAGGGTTTGAGAGCAATTACATTACTTAAATTGTAAGCTATAATTTTTATTAGTTATTGTTTGCTATCGAATGTTTTAAAACGGTCAATGGATGAAATAGGGAAAAACAATACTAGAGTAAAATTATAATTATTTTGCAATTTTAAATTCTTTTCGAGCTAAGGTTAGATAATTTCCATTTTATAGCGATTGCCGTTGGACGAAAGCCAAGTATAACCTGAACAAATACAATAAAACCGTTATACGAGCGTGTTATAAATGCTATTTAAAATTACCTCACGGGTTTAATGTTTCATGTTAAATGGTTTTTAGCGCTACATTGTAATAAGATTCGCATAATAAATCATTCTGATATGACTTCATGTGTGTTTTACTTCAACATCTAATACACTGACACGGTCAACTTAACTAAGACTTATCATTAAAATGTTTCAAATTTATTCTTTTTCGAAAAAAAAAAAGCTTAAGCTGTTTCATGTTACATAGCATAAATTACATTTTACTTGAACAATGACATATCAATTTATTTATTTTTATTAAAATTTGATGTATTTTTCAGTATTATGAAGTATTTTGCTAAATGCATTTTCAAAAATACACATCTCTGAACTTTAAAGAAATATTATGAGTGCATTATATATTAATATATAATATTATATTAGTCATTGAAATAAAGCGGGGTAAATTTTTTTTGTGAATTAAGAGTTGATGACATTGAAACTTATTTTTTATAAAATTAAATTCTAAAAAAATTGATATTTTTAAAAGTCATTTATAAAAAGCATTCTATCGCAACGCATGTGATTTTCTATAATGGAAGTACTATTGAACTCTGAGTGTAGTAAATATTTGTAACATTTAACTTAATATCAATATTATTTGTTTTATACCTTTTATTTTAGTTGCCACTTAGCGCCGTACAAATACGGCAGTCCTCTGGTGTATTATTTGGAGTAGCAGACGCATACGTCAATTTAATGAGTGTTAAATCCTATAAAATTGATGGCGTGATAAACCAACTGCTTAGCATAACTTCCGGCATCCTGTTGGACACAAACATAACACTAGTGATTAGTGTAAAAAAAATAAATTACAAAGACAGTGTAATTAGCTTTGTTAGCGCAAGTCATTATATAATATTGTATCTTTATCTTTGTTTATCTGCCTGCAATGAGTCTATTGTAACATAGGTTTAATCAGTGTACGTTCAACCGCTGAACCATCAGCGATGCGCTCATAGTCATAATTGTGTTTAAATATTTTTATTTAAGTTTTAATTATACATAAAAATAGAAACAAATATTATGTAAAAATTATTTATTCTTGTTTAAATTTAATGTTTATTACATTGATCTCAAAATTAAAAATGTCAAATAAATTATTCATAAGTGAGCGTTCGATTTATTACCAATAATAATCCCGCTTCAGTACATTTCTGGTCCTTCGATCCGCAATACTATTAATAATTAAAAAATAAAATTTCGAGTACGAAAAGTGCGTATGTGCGTAAAGCTTTTGTAGTGCGTTTTACTTGTTTAAATTAAGCTAAAAATAATATTGGGTTTTCTTTGGCCATAAACAACACAATGGCCGAGCAACCAGTTGTGTATAATGCAGCATTGTATGGTACAATCAAATGTCAACTGACAAGGTTTGTTACTTTTGTGTCTGCAGCAGTACCGAAAGGTGGGAATAGGACTTCACTTAAAGTCCGCCGACAAAAAATTGAAGAAGTTTGAACAGAATTTCAAAAAATTCAAGCTGAAATTGAAGAATTCAGAGATCCAGAAAGTCTAGAAGATCTATACAGATTTCAGTTTGAAGAAATGTACTTTAGGGCAGTATCAGAGTATGAACGAATATTGGCCAGTGATCAAGCAGAAATGGAAGAGATAATTTTTGTAAATATTCGAAACACATCACAGCCACCCATAATGACGTCAACGCTAACAAACAGTTGTATATCTAATCAGCCATCAATTGTAAAATTAGCTCCATTAAGTGCACCTACATTTAGCGGCAGCTATAAAGAGTGGTCAACATTCAATGATATCTTAAATGCGTTAATTAACGAGTACGAAGCGTTAACTGATGTACAAAGGTTTTTTTTATCTAAAAGCAGCTTTATAGGGCGATGCATTAAAGGTAATACAATGCTTTGAAACATCAGCAAAAAATTATAAGATAGCATGGGATAGTTTGACACAACAGGTTTAATAATAAACGGATTTTGGTGCAACAACATACAAACGCCAATTATCGAGGAATCAGCGAACAATTTGAAAATTTTCACTGACGATTTAATCGGCAACATGAAAGCCCTAGAAAATTTAGGTCACGATGCAAATTTATGGAGTCCTCTTATGATTCACGTCATATCAACAAAACTAGACACAAATACATTGCAAGCTTGGGAAAAGCAAGCACCAAAAACTGAAGTTTCAGAAGTCAAAGATTTAATTGAATATGTAAATAATCACTGTCAACTATTAGAAGCAGTTGAAGGTGCAAAAAGGTAAAACGAATGCGGTGACAATCAAAAAAAAGAAAAGAAACGATTTGATTATCAAAAAAGGACCGTATTGCATGCAACTTCAAAAAAATTAAAATGTTGCTTATGCAATAAAACAATTCACGCTATATATCTCTGGAAAAAATGCTCAGACTTAACAATAAAAGAGCGTCATCAAAAGGTTATTCAATTGAACATTTGTAATGTATGTTCGGCTTATCATTCAGAAAACCATTTATGTAAATTTTCAGGCTGCAGGAAATATGGAGAAGCACACATGTGACTTGTGCAGAACAAAAACAATTTTTGTTGTCAACGGCAGTGATAAAAATTAAAAGCCATTTAAATGAAACATTCATTGTAAGAGCACTGCTTGATTCAGGCTATCAAACTAACTTTATAACTACTGATTTAGCACAAAGTTTAAAATCTCCATGAAAAAGAGTAAATATTAGTATATCTGGTGTTGATAATTCTAAAAGTAAATCATTTTACTCTATAACAACATTAATTCAGTCACGAAATACTAAATACAATAACCAACTCGATATTTTAACTTTACCAAAAATAACTTCATTTTTACCGACCGAAACAATTAACACAGCTGGTATCAACAAACGAGATGTCATACTATATGCCACACCATGCTGTTATATGCAATCATAGTGCAACAACACAAACCCACGTTGTATAAGACGCATCTGCACAGTCTACTTCGGGAACTAGTCTAAATCAAATGCTTATGAAAGAGCCGATAGTTCAAAATGAACTCATATGTATTTTGGCCCGCTTTCGGGGATATAAATACATGCTGTCAGCAGATATAGCTAAAATGTATAGGCAACTATGGGTAGCAAAAAAGGATAGAGTTTTGCAAAAAATATTTTTGCGATCTCGACAACATGAAGAATTAAAAGAATATTGTCTGTCAAAAAATACATACGGAACCACAAGTGCTCCATAAATAGCTACGGCGTGTCTCGAAAAATTGACACAGGAAAATTGCACTAGGTATCCGTCAGCTAGCAATTTCGACAAATTTTTATGTTACGATTATTTGGGCGGCGAAAACACTATTGAAGAAGCCATAACACTGCAAGATCATAAGATAAAAAATATCGATAGCTCAGGGTTTACATTACGGAAATGGATAGCAAATGAACCGTCATTGCTGTCAACTATAACGAACATAAGTAATGACCCGCATTATGTTATGAATATTGACGGCATCGCAATAAAAACTTTAGGCCTTTTGTGGAGTCCATGCGATTATTATCAATACAAATATAATAACATCGAATCAAGTAAACAATCAATTTCTAAACGTACAATATTAACTACTATAGCGAAAATTAAATAGATTTTTCATAAGTGAGCGTTCGATTTATTACCAATAATAATCCCTCTTCAAACAAGCTTCATTTAAATTAAGTAAATACTTATTCAACGCGAGATTATCTATTTTATTTAGGAGAAAATTAGTTTTATATAAAGTTTTCAGTAAATAATGTGATAAGTAAATAATGATACATTTAAAGACAATCAAATAATAATAATTTATTGCTATTACAGTTTTTAATAACACATCGGTATATTAAAATACTAATGATAAGTTTCAGAAGTACTCTCAGACTTTTTTAACATCCCTTAGTAATTTTTCAAAAGCGTAGTACTTCGACAGTACTGATCATTATAAGTGTAGTACTACAAATTACCCAAATAACGATGACGTTTTACTGTACTGATTGCCAGCCAGTCCAGTGCCATTACACAACCAAAGCTATATCCGTAGGGCCCGGGGAAATGTGCACTGGAATTTTTTTAATACCAGTATTACACTAGTAGTCGGCCGGCCAACAGTATTGACCATCAATACCAGAATTTGGTAAATTTTCAATTAAATAATTATTTCGATAAATATCTATTCAAATAAAAAATTATATGAGTTCTTTTCTAAATGATTAATAAAAACTATTCGAATAGTTTTAAACATCATTATTCGAGTAAAAATAATATACTATGCTTTTTAATTTCAAGCAAGAAAAATACATACTAGGACAAAATCAGTTAAATCTCTTATTTTTCTTAATGGTTTAAATATTGATTAATATTGTTTACAGTAAATTAAATATATAGTTTTTCTGTTAAAAAGTCAATGACACTCTTATCTATATAGATTAAATTATTCTATTTAAAATATAAAAAAACGTTTTGCTACTGCTAAACCGATAGTTATATCTATACACAAATTAAAAATATTTAAAAAATTAAAAATAATTTACAATTTACAATTATTGACTTATACTTCTCAAGATATCACCAATTTTTTTTTTATGTTAAGTTCATTTTAAACTAATTTATTCCAAATAAAAAGGTTGAACTATATAAATGATACTTTATATTCTTAGTAGACAACTTTCACAAAAAAAGTATGCTCAATAATTCATAATTTAGCTCAAATTACCATAAACTCTCATTCTTACTGCGCTAAGTATCTTTAAATAACAGAGTTGTCAAATTAATTAAACTATAGTATGATTATAAACAATCCCTGAGGCAGAATTATTGGTGTGAAATATTTAGTTGCCGACTGTCGGCTTTATGTGTTTGTATTAATTATAATCAACTATTCCACCGGTACTCTCCGAGGCCTTCAACAGATATGCGCAATGACAAATTTGGTTTTTAAAAACCCTATGACATAGGGACGCTAAGAGAACAAATCGAGTGGAAAATGTGAGAGCATACTTGAGTTGACAGCTACCTTTGAATTTTGGTTATTGAACGAATAAAAATTGCAAGTAATATCAGACAAGATGAATCGACCAAGACTTGTTGATTTAAATACTCATCATAAATTAGATAGGGTTAAATAATGCTGACTAAGTAGTGAGTTTTACTGTTATTATAAAAAAACTATTTTGTACAGTTTTTTTCTTTTTTATTAGTAAAAAGACTTCCACTAATATGTTTTTTAATATTGATTTATGTGGATCATAGACGCAACTATGAACGTTGAAGGTATAGTCCTACAAAAATCAAGAAAATTATACACATTTTAATAATAAAAACTTTTAAGGTGGTAAAATTAATTTAGCAACCTTCCTCAATTTTATTTTAGTTTCGCTTAAGAGTGGATTCTCTTTCAACTGAATTATTATTACAATAAACCATGAGCTAGTGTAATACAATATTTTGATCAAAATAATTACAATGAACCTGCATTTAATTTGAATAACAAATTCGATAACGTATCAAAGTAATTTTACTTAATTTAATAATTAATTTATAGTTATTTAATAATATAAGAATTAAGTAATTAAACTTTTAACTACACCTTAATTAATTAAAAATAATTATTTTTAAATAATGGGAATTTTACTATATAATAATGTATTTTAATATTTTAGAATGGTAAGAAAAAATCCATTGAAGAATTAGCACCTTTTTTTATGCTCTCTCTGTAATTAAAATGATAAAGAGATATTATTTTTATAGTTTAAGCTATTAAACTAATTATTTTTTAAGTCAGGTTATCATGAATGTTTATTGATAAAATTCATCATAATAGTTTTAAAAATTAAATTATTTTAGTTCTAGCAAGTATGTTTAACATCTCTAATTGAAATCAGTAGTGTAGAGCGGGTAAGATCATCTTTTTAAACGTTAGAAATGCTATTTGCTAATTAGGGATGGCTCATGAATGTATTTTTTACCATTGTAAATATCTCGTATGAATATTATCGATAATCAGTCTAATTTAATAAAATTAACAGCATTATTTTCATGTTTTTTCATATTATCTACGTTACATTTGTTCTACTCGGCGTATGGTTTAGTCTACAGTAAAAGTAAGTAAATAATTTTATTTTAACTTTATTATCTCGAGTTTGTTGTTATGAAAAATGTTATTTAATTATAGTTTTTAATTTAATTTTAATTGTTTAAAGTATTGACGGATTTTATTTATAAAAAAAAAACAGTATAGGGCAAGATAAAAATTGAGTCAACTTACCCCAACAAACATTTTTTATTGTACATAGATATAGTACTATAAATATTATAGTAATATAGTATTACATTGCATAAAATTTGTAATAAAAATGTTTGTGATTTTGAAATTTAAACAATTATAATATTGCATAGATGAAAGTTGAAAGCAAAATTTTTGTAATGATTTTACTGTAATTTAGATTATAAGCTCAAATCATTATAGGTTATAATTTTTTTACTAATTTACTGAAATTTAAAATCGAGTGTCCAATTGTCCATTGAAAAAACCATCATGTCCTAGCTTTGGAACAAGATGAAGTTTTCACGTTTTTATTGATTAATTATTTTAATTTAATTTATCAGTTATACTTGAACTAATTAGTATTAAGTAATAATTATTTTACTATTTGTTCTTAATGTATTAAGGAGTGTATCTACCAAATTTCAAGGTTGTAGGCTTAATGACGATAACGATTTATAACTTGCCCTACACCGCCCTAATTATTTACTTTTTTTGTCTTTATTATTCATTATTATTATAATAATGTTCCATAAGTATAAGATGGTATGATCTAGGCTGAAAGCTTCCAGTTGAGGAGGATTTTCCATCTCTCCACGTGGGAATGTTCATATAGGTACCGAATAATTATAATACTATATTCATTATTTATCATCTATAGTTATCATCATGATCCAACATTTACTAATCTTAAACATCGCCTATAGTTATATAGAGTTACCATAATGATTTTTTTTTATATAATTCTAAAAAATATTCTTAAGTATTGATACTATAGAAATATAGTCATCATTTATATCTGCTATACATACACATAGATTGTTAATTATGTTTAATTATAATAGTATGTCAGTACTTTGAAGTATATTTTAAAAGTTCCACTAATGTTGTTTAAATTATAATGATAATAGTAAATATAAAAACATTTTTTAAAAATATGACAAACCTTAAACATAGCCGACTTGAAAAATGAGATGATATTAACATTACTTGACATAGGCAATATTGTTTAGATCATAATGAGTATTTGAAAAAAGTATTATGTTTAGTTTTATCTTAGTGTTTTATTTTTTTGGGGAGGGGGATAGAATTTTTTAACTTGAGATCTAAGGAATTCTTATTCATTGCGAAATACACGTATCTATACGTGCCAATCTTCACTTACATACATCTACCTAGAATCTGACAGCAAAGGTGTTGTAATATAAACTCATTAACAACGGTCCTTAAATTTTGTCAATATTGTTAATGAGTCTTAACTTTAAACTTTAATAGAGTTTTAGGGATCAAATAAGGATCGAAGAGGAGACATATTATATTAACAACACCACATCTTTGATCTGAACCATTCATATTTATCAGAGAAAGGGACCATAATAATAATTTAACATCTACTGGCCAACCGAAGAACACGCCCGTTTATACTCGAAATGACTGTTTTATTATTTCATCAATAAAATATCTTTCGGATAATTACTTTCGATAGTTTTTTTTGTACGTCACAAATTAATAGAAAATAATCTTAGATAATCCCTAAATAAAATAATTTGATTTTCTTAAAAGGTATAAAAAATATATAGTCAAAAAATATTTATTATTATAAAAATCCCGTACAGTCGGGACACAGCATAGTGAAAATCGGTCATAAGGATACCATTATAGATTGAAATCTTACAATGATTAAAATAACAATCATAAAACGATTCGATGCTATTATGTTCAAAGAAGTTCAGTTATTCTGATCTTCGTTCATTATAATTTGAGTTTTAAAGTTTGAATTTAAGTTTATCATAAGTCACTTGTAACTGTACACTTGTCTAAGTAGTATATTCTGATATTTAAATACACACATGCATTATTACATATCGTGAAGTAGGTGTTATAATCAGCGATCAGCTGTGTGATTGCTGATTCTCCAAACTACATTGGTAATATACAAAGTGAAATAAATTAAGATTATAGGTAATGCAAAAAACTACAGAGCCATTCGTTACAAAACTGTAATATTATGTATACGCATTGCTATTGTTATAATTATAACACACATAATGTAAGTGTACGTCAGAACTCGTGATGATTGAGATGTTAAATATGTAATATAAGTATCATTCAAACATTACTTAAAGATCTTATATTAGTCAACAAAAACGGCAAAAGATGTTTCGAGAGCATATCATTTACAAGAATCCTCTCTAAAAGTATTTATAGCTAACAACACTTAAATCTTATTTAATTTTTTTAAGAGGGGAAATTTTTGAATAATTGGGGTAATATACCCCATATATGACCTATATAAATGTATATATATATAGGCACCTAATAAAAAAAAATGAAGTAGAAAACAATACGAAGGACAAACAATGTATTTTTACATAAAAATAGATCATTTTGAGGACGATAATTTTTCTCAAGTCTCATTTAATCAACTTTTTTTAACAATATTTAAAAATATTACAAATTATATCTAGCTGAAGATATTACCCTCAAAAATTGAAAATATTTTCTCCATTCCTCGTCAATGGGAGAAACCTGCAAAAAGGAAAATTTTCTAATTTGGTATATTTCCACGATTTTTAAACTTTTATTATTTATAACTATCATCACTTTTTTAAAAATAAATGAATCAATAAAAATTTTTTTATACATACCTTCAGAATTTACCTTTCATTAAGAAAATTTTTTTTGAAATTTTAACCCTTAATCTAACTCTAGAAGGATTCAAAATTGCTACTTTTTCAAAATGTTATCGAAATACTCCAAGTTTCAAACATATTTTAAGTTAAAGCTTTATTTACATACTATTAGTTAAAAAAACAAAAATATCTCGACATTTTATCTTTTATACATAAACGGCCCCCAAAATTAAACAAAAAATGTTATTTTTGTATAAAAAAATCACTATTATTAATAATAATAACAAATATATGTAAATAACAAAGATCACAATAATCGAATTAAGAAAGTTAACTTTATTAATTTTTTTTAATAAATCCATACCAATAACTTTGATATACGTTTTCTATAGAAGTGACGAAATAACCTTTAAATAACTACTCTATAATTTTTTTATAATTTTTAAGGGAAAATTATAATTTTTGTGTAAAAATAAAAAAAATTAATATATTTTTAATAAATTATTGTACAAAAACTTATTTTAAAGTGTTTGTAAAAATGAGTGCAAACTACATTGGACGTATTAAAAAATGAGGTAAAAGGGGGGACTAATCCATTAAATTTTTATTCGAAAATATTTATTTTTACTTAAACTTATATAACTTAAAAAAATAAAATTTCTTATATTTTGAGTATTGCTCGTTTGTCAAAATCACGAAAAAAAGGATGTGTACACATTTCCCCCTTGCACAAAATAAATCAAATACAAAAATCTCTCTGTGGAAATTTTTTTTTTTTTTCAATATTACATCGTTATTACTTTTTAAATAATGTAAAACTCGGCGTTATTTTTATTTTAAAACACCTTTTAAGGGGAGGATACAAATTTTCATAAAAATTAAATGAATCGAATTGACATAGAATATAAAGTTAAAGTTATTTTTAATTTAATGGTTCTCTGAAGTCGTGAAAAATTACATTGAAATTTTGAACTAGCTTAAAATGTCCTTTTTATATACTGACAAATTTGATATACGGTTGCCGCGTGGGTAATAATTATGTCTTTTACTTTCGGGCCACGATGTTCGAACTCCACTTGACAAATAGATACTTCTTATGAATTTTTTTTGGGTTAGAAAAAATGCAAAATTTGTTTCAGTTTTATCTCATTTAAATTGATTTAGACTTGGCCCATTTTTTCAATAATACGTCAAATGATTACAATTTGTATCTATTTGAAGATATTACCCTCAAAGATTGAAAAAAAACGTTCTACATTATCAATAAAAATTTGCATTCTACATATAAACAATTAAAATCATTAATTTCTAAAGTTTTCGTATATCGTACTTATAAACCAAAGAAGTAATAATCTGGATATCATTAAGAAAATATAAATTTATGTTGCTCTTGGAATAATTCATACATTTTTTAAAATTAAACATTTCAGATTTGCATCAAAGCGTTTCTTATGATAGTAATTTTATTCACTGTTAGATATCATCTATACTTGTCTCAACTAGGTCAGGGATCTACTGTGCTACCATTTTTTTTTTTGATAAACTCATATAACATTATATTTATTATTCATTGAAGGTCTTAAATGCTAATTCTGTCAACAATACCTTTTGTTTCTATCCTATGCTACAAAAAACAAATAGGTTTATTATACAGCAATTGATTATCAAGAGAACAAAGGTACTTATGTAGAAATATATTTACTTTTATTTTATAAAATAGATGAATGAAATAAAATTGCTCATCGTCATTTAATATAAATGAAGTGAGCTAATCATCTTCATAATGATTTCTTATTACACCAATAGTTTATAAAAAATTGTGAAACAAAAAATATAGTATATAATTGTATTAATTATAATATAATCATTAGGATAATTCAATATTTTCTTACAATTAAAATATTTTCCTTCGGAGTATAATCAGGCTAATCATAATTTAAACTGATAATAAATTTGTTTAATGTATAAATCAGTAGATGTAGAAAATTAACGTACACTAAATCTATTTAAATTCTACTATTTAATTTTATATGCTATTTTTATGATGTATGAAATATGAAAAAAATTTTGTTAACATCGATGATGTTAAAACTCAGTATAATTGTATACATTAAATTTTTAATTATAAATATTAATAAATTTAACAGTAAATGTCTATTTTTGTTTGCTGATGATGCTTACATTCAGTATTAGCATTTTGGTAAGGGGTCGATACACTTGCCTTCCTTTAACGCACACAAACAGTGACTAAAAAAGGGCACTACTTATAGCTATTATTTATTTTGAAATAAATAATATCCATCAAGTATAAACATGGATATAAAGATAATAGATTTAAAACTATCATCGTCAAATAAATACCTTCTAACATTTAAAATACCAAAATATCTTAAATGTAAAACTTCCAAAATAATATGTATGTTTGTTAAATATACCTAAATTACTATTGTATAATTTTCATAGTTTTATTTTTATTTCAACAGTGGTAGTCTCCACCAGTTACCATAAATACATCAGTAAGAGCGTGTAGATTTCAAAAATTAAATTAGAAAAAGAAAATAAGTTTTTATAGCGAGCACGCTGCCTAGGTACTCTTCGTGCATGAAGAGTTCTACATCGCTCAATAAAAACAAATTGAATTACCGTTGCAAAAGACTTCTATTATAGTTGTTTTAAAGTAAATACAACATTTTTATTTTATTTAGTTCATAATGGATAATTTAGAACAGTTCTATTTGACAGAATCCTATTTTCTAAAGTATTAATATTTACTGTGAAACTAAATATTTAATTTTTTTTTAAATGTAAAATTTTCCCAAATTAAATTCTAGAAATAACGTTTCTTTTATAAATACGGGTGTACCTTTATATTCCACTTTTATAATCCTATAAATGATATTCTTAGTGGTAGCTAAGTTATATTTATAACTTTTAAATTAATTATTAAAAAAAAATTATTCATTTTTCATTTAATGTTTTTTGACATAGTTATCATACATTATATTTGTTCCAGACAGAAAAATTGAATTAAGAACCCAACCAATATATTGAGGTACTATTTTCTAATGAGTTAGCCGTGAAGTACTCATGGAAAAGCAAACATAGATTAAATAAGCTGAATATTTTCAAATTTATAATAAGTAAATGTATTTTTGTTTCAATTAAAATAAATTGGTGTTAAACATAAATACTGAATTCTGTGGTACAATTAAAAATAAAATTGACTTTTTTGAAACTCTAAAGTTCATTTTAATTACTTAACATATAAAGTTATGAAGTAATAAATGACAACTTATTATGTTAAATAGAAGCAATTTTCAATCGGCTATTTTTCAAAAAATAACCCGCAGCGTAAAACATTTTTAATATGCGTCACTTAAAAATGTAATTTAAATTTACACTTTTTCAATTACAAAAACACCTACTGTTATTTTAAGTTTTTTGTTATAAAAATTTAATTAAACTAATCTTATGAACTGAATGTTTTTTTTATTTAATGTTATTATAAACTAAATCCACTCATATTTCAAATGCTAATACATTTTAAAATGTTGTGCATTAAGAAAAAATATTAAAACCTTATCGTCCCGCTATTAAAATAATAAACACACAACACGAATACTTTTGCCTTTACTTTTCTTATTTGTGTAATTTCGATCATTCCGCTAATTTTGATTTTGCTATTTTTTTATTCTACTGAATATCATCTTACTACTAGTGATATATTTTAACCAACACCCTGTACATGGATTTAAACCAAAACTTAATGAACATAACTTATTATACTTTAGAAAATTCTTTATGATGCAAAAGAGGAATCAGATCCAGTTCTATAGAATATTTTAAATTGTTTGCATTTTTAAAATTTTTTTTTTTATTAAATCATAATTATTTATGTTTATAATTATTGAAGTAATATAATATTTTATATTATAACACATTTTTATAAAATGGAGACAATCATGTCAGCAGTCGTGACTTTTTGTTATAATAAAATATGAATACATTTTATTCATTTTATTTGTATTATTATTTATTTATATTATATTATTATTTATTATAATAATTTATTTGTTAATAAATAAATATAATTTTTATTTTATTTTTGTAAAAAAAACAGCTCAAAAATATTTCTAAGTATACTTTAAAGATTATATATAACAAATTTTAAAAACCTGTTATATATAATTTTTAAACCATTTCATATTTAATTTAAAAGTGGTCACTTTCATTCTATTAAAGTACTTTTAAAATAATCTTTTTATAGTTTGGAAATATTTATGAATGATTTTAAAAACATTTTTAGTCTTATAGGGAACGTACGATCATTTTCTTGGAAATAAAGCAGTTAAAGAATATTAAATTTTTGTATTGTTATAATTTGGACTTTTAAAAAATTTCATATGTATTACCCATAGTACTCAGTTCTCTATAATTTTACAATAGTACGTTTATGCCATTTATTCAACAAATCAAAAAAGGTAAATATTTTAAAACGTTCTTATCTTGAAGTAAATAAATTCCATGTTTTTTTCTCATAAATAAAATGCATAATTAATACTGTTTACAGTAGTTTTATAATGATAGGATCACATAATATATTATGCGGCTGCATGGGCTTTACCTTTTTCAGTTGAATTTTTTAAAGACTCGATTAACGCAAGAAATTCATTACAAAACAATAATAAAATTTAATAAAACACGTCTCCAGTTAATCGAATATATGCTACTGTTTTAGAGACCAATAAAACTTAAAAGTGCAAACACAAAATGTATAGGTTTGGTTTGTGTAAAAATAATAAATTCCACGAGTTAGAAATTCATGGGATGATTTCATAGATACAGTGCTGAAGACGTCGAAGTCAGTCAGTTGGATAATAATTGATTCATTTTTCATTCAGTTGTGCTACGCCATAAATTCAAGCACTTCAAGTATCACGGAATGGTCAATTTTTCCTACCAAATAAAATTAATAACAAGTGGATAAATTATTGGACAGCATACTATCTCCGTTCTCAATGCTCAGGGGATAAATAAAAGTCTGTAGAAAGCTATTACATCATATGAATATCTCTTTCATACAAACACATTTGTTCAATGATAATAATAATAGTCCAATTTTCAAATTACTTATAAATAATTAAATTGTAACATCGACTGCTATAGAACCTAACATGAAATAAATTTACAATTCTTCTTAACAATACCAAGGGCTTAAAAATTGATAGTTTGTTTTCGGAGGTATTTCGAACGTGCCTAGAAGACGACGAGTTGGTATAGATTTATTTGATACGTACAGACATTTCACGGTACAGGCTCCGATAAATTCAAATACAAACCTGTAGCGTTTTTCTTGCATGAATGAATAAAATTGGCACGTTTTCAAAATGGCCGATAAAGACGAAACGAAAGAAATGATTCACAATGAAAAACCATTAATGGATACATTTTTTTTTTTTTTTTGGATTTATTTATTCGGTATCTGTTATTTTAAAATACATCTATTACCATCGTTTAAATTGTTTGACAAAAAATGATCTCGGAACGTACAAACATAGTGCCTATAAATAACGCAAGAGGCGATAAAAAATATAATGTAAAATATTGCAAGAGAGCATCAGTGAGTTTACGGGACGCGTAATGATTTATTAATAAAAACGCGGTACTTGCAGTGGTCGTTAGAGTAACATAATAAGAGTATGAATATTTGGCAAATATTTCCAGAGACAAGTAGAAATAAAGGCGCAAAGAAATGTATTTTTTTCTCGACGAGGACCACTGCGATTTCTACACGGAACACCTAAAACTCTCAGACGCTCATGAGAAACTCAAAGTGTTCACATTTTCAGTTCGTTGGACCGCAAAATCGTAACTCGACACAAACACATTTAGAAATTTTAGCTGTTTTATTCGAACGTCCACGAAACTATACACTCTAATCGAGTTTAAACTTGTTACCGTATTGAGAAACGATCAGATACAAAAATATAAATGATTACGACTGGCATGTGTTGTCTTTGTCGCAATGAGACTGTTCGTAGTAATTCAAAACCACCACGCTGACAAATACCTGAACCGTCTTGGGTCCCATCCAAAATAGTTCTCAGTGCGTGGCACTTGTACACTTGCGGATGCCGATGGTAATTAACTTTAATGGAAATTCGTCCGTTGACTAAAACCGCATGCGTTCCACTGAGAGTCTGTAAAAGTTCATTTGGACGAAACCTATCGATTGAGTTGCACCGACAAACTGTCTGGTTGACACATTTCCAAATCATTTCGACACTTGTCGGCTTGCTGTCTAGCGAATATACCTGTCCGTAATGTTTTGGACATGTGCCAGTGCAAACGAACGTTTGTGACCAACGCAACACACGCGGTCGAATTAACTCGTGTGGGTTTTCACCATTACAGTTGTCAAACATGACAGTGGATTTTAATTGATTTACCAATGAAAAGTACCGTTATTTGTAAGTGTTCAACGAAAATCTTATACACTAAAATGTAATCTTCATTATTGTTCACTTATAGTTTAGTAAAAAAAAAGTATGTTACATAAGCTTTAATTTAAGATACATATGTGTCAATATTTCCGGAATATTTTCAAAAATTAATTTGTAAAAGTTCTAGTTTCTACTCACCCCCCTCATCTGTACATATAGAATAAATCCGATTTGAAAAAAAGTATGTCGGATGAAATGTGTGTATAAAAAGTATTAAAATATAAAAAAATGGAATTGATCCATAAATTTTTCAAAAAGTTATACAAATATAAAGTTAAAAATATATAATCGAGAATTTTAACACGAAAATAGCATATTTTTCAATACGGCAGCCATTTTCACGACGTAAACAAGTTTTTTTTAATTTTATTTAAATCTATCAGTGATGGAATATTTAATATTATCATTCGTTTGTAATAATTCGAATCATAATAATAACAGTAAATAAAAATGATAAAAAAACACACTATCTAAAAATAATACCTCCTCGACTTCGTATAGATTTTATACTATACAAGTGAATAATAACAACCGCCAAAAATTAATATCCAAGCTATTATTTTGCTGTCTAGTACTTATTTATTGAATGGTATAAAGTTTTCACGAATGCCGTTTATTAAAATTTGAATATTTAAAAATATAATAGCAAAGCTTTATTTATCTCAAGTGTTATATAGAATGTCTCACCAAGATTTGACATGTTTAATAACTTTTGATCCAGCGAATATTTTGCGTTACTTTTTTTTTAAATAATTTTTACTGTTTTTGTCTGCGTTAAAAGCATATTTTTTACTATTTGTCTCTAATAAGAAAAATAATTATATTTTTTTTAAATTTCAAAGTAGCCCTATATAGTGACTAATTAGCAGGTGGAGTATGCAATATAAATATACAGCAGTACGAGCTATACTCGCAATACGTACGTGGGTATATATTTCAATTAAAATACTAGTAACTAAATAAGTTAAATAATAGCTATTATGAAATTTTAAATAGATTAAAAACTAAAAATAATTCTTATTAATTACAAACAAAAAATGTGCTTTTAGCGTTTCTAATACTGTAAAAATTATAAAAAAAATGTAATATAAAATATTCCCTGGATCAAATTTTTTTTAAAGACGTTAATACCTGTTGAGATATTCTGTATAATATATTTTCATATTTTAAAAATAATTTAAATGTAACGTAAATGAATAGAATATAAAATATATAGGAAATTAAGTAAGAAAATCATAATTTTCCAAGGGGTGATTCAATTAAAAGAATTATTTGTGAACAATAACAACGATATAAAAAAAATTCTGTTCATCTGAGACAGACAAAATAAGTTAGTATAATTTGTCACTGTGAAGTTTTGAAAACTTCCAAAGTTTGATTTTTGTTTTTTACAACTGTTGCAGCGGTAGCAGCTTGATAAGGTCAAAAGTGAAAAATTCTGTTTGTTTCTACACACTATTTCTGACAATACGTTTTATTTTTCAAGTATTTTATTGATAAGACTACTTTTGTTAAATTTAGCTATTGTTTGTAATATTATGTTATAAAAACAAAACTTTTTGCTAGAATATTCTTTTTTCTTTTCAAAGTATATTTATAAAAATGTAAGCACATAATTTATTTGAATCTGCAAGGATTTTAAATAGTCAAAATCAATTTATTTGAAGTTAACGTTAAAAAATCTACTTTAACAACGTGAAACGTACTATTAGTTACTCAGTGCTGGAAAAATTTTTTTTTTAAACGAACTTCACTCCGTTTTTAGTTAATTTCCAATATAAAAATTCGTTCCTGATACAGCTCTATTAAAATATGAAATCATTATTTATATTATTATTATTATTTTATAATAATTATAATTATTATGAATAAGAGTATAGGGTAAATTTTAATCATTCTATGATTTCTAGATATTACATTCTATGTCTAATAATTTTTTAATATCATTGAAGGTATCATAATCATTAATGTTATTCTTAGAGAAATATATTAAACAATTTATAATTCTAGTGTATTTTTTTTCTAAAAAACTCTCAACTTGATCAATTCACTTAAACAACGCTTGATAAGAATTTAAGAGAAAAATAACATCGCCGAACAGTCATTTGTGCAGCTTCATTTTGGAAGTTGTATTATTATTCAAATTATGTATCAATATTTTATTGTGTTATCAAATACAAAGATGCCGCTATATAAATATGACCGTCTAAGACTAATGCAATAAATATTGTTAATAATCAACGTGAATCAATTAAAAATACACTTTTGTTAATTATACCTTTGTATAAAAAAAAACAACATTATAATATGTTTTTTTTTATTTAAAGGAACTGTAATTTTAGTTGACGTTTCTCAAAAACAAGAATTCGTTCGTTTCAGAAAGAACTCGCTTCTGGAATCTATTCTTTTTGGAATAAATTTCTTCTCAACACTATAAGTACTCAACAGAATAGTTGGTAAAGTGTAAAAAGTTTTCCTTGGTAGTTTCGAAGAATTTCATAACATTTTATTAGATTATATTTTGAAATAATATATAAGATTTTAATAATTTCCATTAGATGTAAAACAAATATAAATGTTAAGTAACGTAATACTAAACTTTTTTTACTTCAATTTTTGTGTAAAAATATTAATTATTTTTAAAGAACTTTAATAATGTGGTTATCATTTTTTATACATTACAATGAATTAGTTTTTTTGTCTTTATCACAAACAAAAAGATGCAAGAGAAGCAGTTTTCTACCCTCGAAACAATAGAAATATTGCAGTTTTTATAATTCAATAAAGTAAGTAACAGGTACCTGTTACTTGGTTTTACTTGTACACGCAGCACATTATTTTGATACCGGTGATCTGTCTTGTAAATCTTTATCATCAAGTTAGACTCTTTTACGCTACTAGTTGTATGTTGCATGAATATTAAAAAACTTGATCACAAGAATTTTTTTTTGTCGGAATTTCAACCCGATGTGACGTAATTTTTTAAATCATGTGCACACGCCCTCCATCAAATAATTGACAAACAGCTACCTCGTTACCACAGTAGGCTTTTTGTTCACAGATAAAATGGTAATTATATGGTCACACAAGGTGAACGCCCGAGTAGCGTCCTACACTCCCATGGGTACTTAATAAAAAGTTTTACTGACCGGCTGTTTTACGATAATTTTCAAGTCACGAATTCAAAAGTTACTTTTTGACACCAAATAAATGTGGCTAATTTAAATTAAAATATAACACATACCTTGAATTTCCTCATCGCTGTCGCCACGCCGTCTCTTTCTTATCTTTAGTTGCAGAAATCTGCAAAAAATATACTCCAAAATAATTTATTCACACATTCTCACACACGGCCGAATAGAAAAAAATTATTAATTAATTATTTATTTTAATTGTTTATATTAAAATTGAAACAGATATAATTATACCGTAAATCATTAATAATTTTTAAAACGGTTATATTATAAACGGCAAATTCTTAAGCGTTTAAAATTATCAACAAAAAATAATATAAAAAAAAAAACAAACGTGCTCGCGCGTTTTATCGATGCTTTTAGCAACAATCGCTCACATCCGTCGGTGGTTGTAACGGCACTGCGCTCTTTTGGGACTTGCGCGACTCACACAGCTCTCAGAACTTACACATAGCCGTTAACAACGCGAGTAACCGTGGTAACTACGGTAGTGGTAACGCAATGCATTTATATGTAAGTCTACCATCTATACGGAATGATTTTTTTATCATAACCAACTCAATTACTTATAAAATAAATATAATTTAAATATTTTTTTTGGTTATCTTTAGTTACACATTATTAATGAATTATTAACTATTTAATACTTTTTAAGTTCATCCCTTATGCCTTATAAGGGTGTCAACTTTGTATTTTTAAATGGGAACACATATTTTGAATTTAATGTTTGAGTTTTTAATTTAATAGTAAATGGCATTTGAATTTTTAATATAACTTTATTCGTTTATTAGATATAAACATTTAAAGTTTCAAAATTTTGAGTTAATATACATATATAATACACAAGGTATTACAAATACAGGTAGCTAATTGATTTTTTATGATATCAATATTCGCAGGTGCACAGCTTTGTTATTATCAATGCTAGTAAGTAACATTGTTGACAGTTTATAAATACACTAACTGATAATATAAAAAATTCATTTACTGATAATCATAATTGATAATAAACAATCCGTGACTGTGGCAGCAATGTCATAAGCTACCTGTATTTGTAATCCCTTGTGTATTATACATGTATATTAACTCAAAAATTTGAAACTATAAATGTTTATATCTAATAAACGAATAAAGTTATATTAAAAATTCAAATGTCATTTACTATTAAATTAAAAATTGAAATGCCAATTACTATTTAATTAAAAACTCAAACATTAAACTCAAAATATGTGTTCCCATATAAAAAAACATAGTTGACACCTTTACAAGGCAAAAGTATTACATAGTTAATAATTCAAGAATAATGTGTAACTAAAAATAACCAAAAAAAAAATGTGTTAAATTATATTTATTCTGTAAGTAATTGAGTGGGTTATGATAAAAAAAATCACTCTTTATATACATTTGTGTGTGTGTAAGAAGCACATATTTCCAACACATACTTAATAATAGTACCCGAAAAACACTTTAGAAAAAAAAAAGGTCATTTGTTAATTTTATGGCATAATATTTCGAATTCCACTAGATGCAATAGTATTCTATAGTAACAGACATTTTGGATTAACGACTATTCCACTTGGGTGTAGATTTTTAAATGATGCCCCGTAAAACCCTTAATAACTATTACTAACAATTATTTCATTCAATAATCTGATTACCAATTTTAAGCAAAAATAATTTAGTTTTAAGAATAAGAATTTTATTGCGTTATATACTATACAGGCTTTATATACAGATGTGTATAATAGTTAAGACAAAAACGCCAACTAGAGTCTTGAACCATAAGATTTTTTTCTATATTAAAGTTTTAAGAGTGTTATACGTTAGACATCTCACAATCAGTATAACCAAATATTTTTGGAATTTATTATTTTATAGTATTTTACGACGTACTATAGTATTGAGATATTTATTTTCATGCAAAATACCCAATGTAAAAAATATAGGTAAATCGAATTATTATCTTGTAAGCGACCATTAATATTTATTTTATCAATTCACTCAAAAGCTACAAATAATTTTGATTGAGTATAATTATTTAAATCTGATTTGTTAAAAATTTTAATTATTATTATTATTATAAATCCATATTTAGTGTGCAAATGTATCATATTTATAACACAATGTACAATAACGTTAAATGTTAATCAGTTATGTGGAAATCCATAATACAAAGGACAATAGTTAGTACAAAATAAAAAAGCATTAACTTAATTTCATATCATTTCTGTTTTGCTAATTGTCTACTTTTAATTTTTGGCTGTTAAAATATTTTTAATACACAATGCTAAATATATATATATATTTTTTTTTTCAATTACCATAAAGTACTTTTTATTGAAACGATCATGAATCTTAATCAATACAACTAAATGTTTTTTTTATTAACACGCTTATATTAGTTTCACGTGTATGTTTGTTGTTTGTTGTTTTTGTTTTTTGTCGTTTGTAAGTTTGTAACTTCACGCGGCACGTGTTATTTTGTCGCGTATCCCGTCGTGTATGACCTTGAGACTATACTGTTGTAACGCATTCGCCCCACCCCGCTTACCACTCGTAGAGAACAATATTTTCCAACCCGTAGACGCGCGCTTATCATTTTTTTATAAATATACAATTAATTTTAAGAAATTCCACAAGTATACTAATTAATATATATATATATATATATATATATATAGAAGTACAACATAAATGGGATTTATACTTCCAGTGAAGTGGGCCCTAAAACGCTAAATATTGTCACAAAAACATTGCATTAAGCCCCGCATCTTTGTGAAGCCCTTTTTTTTATTTAAAAAAATACTTTACTTGTAAAATTTTTTTAAATGCGGGATACACAATACAAGTGTATTAGTAGCTTTTTCCTTATGAAATCTTGATTATCAATGTGAAAGTTATGCCGACAACTTTTTAAGTACTTTAGTTTTGAGATACATAATATTTTTCAGTGAAGGGGAGTTCATAATTTTAATTAATTTATGGGTTGAGTGCAATATTTATCTAATCTACCAAAATATAGTGGCATGTTCAGTGGGTAGGCCTGAGCCTACTCTGTTTTCATATCCAGATCTAAGCATATAATGTTTTATTCTACAATTAAAATATAAATTATAACTAGGGTTCGGGACTTTATGCATTTATTAGGTTTATTCCAATCATCCCAACTACATTAATTATAAACAGTTATTCATTTTTGTTTTTCTTAATCTAAATCAATATATGTTAATCAGAATTTTAGTTTTGGGAGGACGTGGAGGAATCACACCCCTTATAACAAAAATCGCCATTTTACAATTAATATTTTCTTGACATCACATCAATGGTTAAAACATTTATCAATTTTTATAATATTATTTAATTCTTTAATAGCGTTTTAATTTCAGCCATAAAAAAATAAGTGATAAATTTTAAAATTAAGTAGCCTGGATTTATATAAGGCGTTTTAAGTAGACAAAATAGGTGCACTGGTGTGCTGAAGCGAAGTTAAAATTCTAGAAAACACACTATTTAAAATGTTAATGATTTAAATGACGCGGTGGTATAAATGGGGTTCCCAGTGTCAACACTAGGAACCCCAGTGAAGTTTTTGAAACACCAAGAAAACCCAAATAATTCTGAATACAAATTCAAAATTTTCGTCTAAGCAACTTTAAATATTGGTTATAACCAAAAAACAAATTTTTTTATCGTATTTTCATAAAATTATTACAAAAAAAGTTAATGAGCAAAAATAAAAAAATGGTTTTTTATTCATTATGAATTAATATTATTTTAATGAACAGTATTTAAAAATAGCTATATAACATTATATTGCCACTCTGAAATAGTAATGGGAACTACCAAAACGCCAGGATCTCCGACGGCCTTGAAATATAATTTGATTGAGCAATGAAGGTTTTATCCTGGAAGGCAATTCATACGAAAATTTTTTGCTACCTCTCTAAATGAAAAATAAATAATTTTTTTACGTGCAATTATTATTGTAATTACAGTCGAATAACAAGGATAATAATAAAAATAGTGCATAAATTATTCGGAATTTTATCTTTTGTCTTAATACTTAATTTTAGTCTTAATATTTTTCTAATTCTATGACCAGAGTGATTTTTATTTTGTTCAATGATTAAAGGAAAATAAAATTTTGGCTTAAAGCTTAATTGAAGTTTTTTTAAGTAGTTTTATTTTGGTTTTTCCCATGATCCATAGCATAATAAGTCACAACATTCTTTCCGCATATAAAAAATTATAATTAAAAATACAATTTATGTTTAAAATTAGTATAGCTAATGAAGAGTATAAAAGCACGTTAACAGACGTTGTTTAAACGCAACGCCCGGTGATAATTGTGATAATTGTTAACCAATCGGTTAACGTTCGTTCTTTTATCTTTGTACGAGAAATTAGTAGGAGAGTGGACTGTAAATGAAATTGAAAATGGTATTTACAATAGAAAAAATCAAAATAATCGGGAAACAACGCCTTATATATTGAAATAACAATAAATATAAAATACCATAGAATTGGGGATCACNAAAATGGTATTTACAAAAGAAAAAATCAAAATAATCGGGAAACAACGCCTTATATATTGAAATAACAATAAATATAAAATACCATAGAATTGGGGATCACTTAATAACTACATGCCACAAGGCGCAATATATATTAAAAAACAAAATAATTAAACAAAGACAAATCAAAAAGTAACATATGACATATACCTGTCGACTTTATGGGGCTGGTAGTTCACACAATGACCGAATGAATTGTAGTGTCCGAGATTGATCTTGTACGACACCGAATCGAACAGACAGTTGTACACGACATGCACAAGAGCATAGAACTGTTATGACAATTCAACAAGCCACAGCGAATCACAAGAGCGACCGATCAGTTAAACGGCTATGAGTTAGGTGCACTGTAGAACCACGTGGCGAGAACCAGCAATGGTGGCGAGAATAGAACATGATAATATACACAGTAAACGGGACACTTTTTCGTTTCCAATGTGTGGCGCAATCAGTATAGCGAAACAGGGACACGAGTGATTATAGCGATGACGTCCCTAGCACAACCGGTGGTGGTGGTGCAAGTGGCAACAAAATGAGTATGAAATAATGCCTACCCGTAACTACATGTCCCACAGACGCCGAGATTTGAATTTATTTTTATTTCGCGGAAGACTTGGATTTTCAATTAAATTATGTAAACAAACAAAAGAGACGTTATAAAACAACTTTTATCTTTTTTTTTTTGCAGACGTTTTCTTTAAAAGTTGTACTGCGCTTACTTTTATTCCATTAACTTTTTTAATTACGCTTAAATACTATTATACTGTATAAGATTGCGAAAATTAACGTGTTACTCTGGTCTGAAACATAATTCAGTGTACTGTATTAGTAAAGAGTACCTTCACACAAAATCTAATAATATAACTTTATAAGCATTTCATTTACAAAAGAAATTTTTTAGATTTTTGTTTTTTTAACATAAAATAAAATTCCAGCTCCAATCAATTATTTAATTAAGACGTTGAAATATTTTGATTATTACATGAGAAGCCATAAGTAATGATAAATTCTTATTGATTGATTAAAAACATTAAAAATAAAAACCAATAAATATTTTAAATATTACGACATTAAATCGAAGCAAGATGGAATTAATTTTACTACGATGTGTTTTATTTTCTCTGTTACTACAAGTTCTCAGTTCCAAATGGATCTAATTTGTTAAACGATACGTCAAAAGATCGCAAATCGTAACAAGTTTAAGACATTATCTCAAAAATTAAAAAAAGAATCCCCACAAATTGATAATCCCCAAAAAATTTTTAATTTTAAAAACGGTAAATTTCGAAATTTTTTTAACTTTTTTTACATAAAACTTTTTGAAAGGTAGATGAATTCGAACCTAATTATATTATAAATACTTTAGGTATGTCGCTCTTATTAAGTATTTTGTTTTTTTGAAATCTGATACACAAAGTAGCCAATATATTGGCTACTTTTATCAAATGACTGCTATGACATGCCAGTTGAAAACTTTTAAAGAACAGTATTAATTTTAAAAAAATCATAAAAGAACTCATCTTTACTTTTAAAATTCACTCTACTCTTAAAAAAATCCACTTTGAAAGAGTACTCAAAAAACAAAATAATTAATCTTATAAAATATCCATTCAGTTATAATTAGCTTAGTATTCGGTTTTTTACAAGAATATTTAGTTACTATTTTATTTTATCAGAGAAGATAAGATAAGGAGCGAACATGTAAGAGGGAGTGTAGGAGTAGCGTCAATCGTGGATAAGATGAGACAAAATAGACTTGGATGGTTTGATCATTTAAAACTATAAAAACAATTATAGAAATGAATGTTAAAGGAAGAAGAAGTTGAGGAAGACCAAATAAGAGATGGAGGAATGTTATTCCATGCGATATGAGGACGACTGATATGTATATGATGTGAGATATTATGTCAAATGGAAGTGTAGGATAATGGTGGCTGACCTCACTTAGTTAAGATAAATGCAAGGAAAAATAAGTAGTAACAAAAAAATATTCATTTAAAAATGTACTCATTACATGGAAGTAATTCAAAGATTTTTACATTTGGGCGGATTTATATAACATTAATCTGTTTGAATAAACATAATGCAAGGAAAATTAATTAATTTTTAAGTATCACAGACATATTTTAAAAGCCTTTATTATTGGAACTATTGTATTTGATAGTATTTTTCATCAAAATATTATAATTTAGTGTATGTTTATACGGGTTGTGCCGTCATTTGGTCAATAGCATCTACCTTGATATCTCAATAAATCCTACAATTATTTAAGTCGATATCATCAGAGTTTAATTTACAATCCATAATTAGAAAATAACATTTGATTAAAGAATTCTGATACTTATTGAGTGGACTATATTTTTAAAGCTTAAAATAATAAAAATTCCTAATCGTTTAGCTATAATAATACTTCTGTATTGAAAGCTAATTAAAAAAAAAAAAATAATAATAATAATAATAATAAAAATCATTGATTCTATATTCAAACAACCTAGAATGTTTATGAAAACAGTAGTCAACTGTTACCGATTAAGCTGTTTCTATTGCAAATAATAGTGAAAGATAGTCAAAATTATATATATTCTAACCATTAATATTAAACTGAAAATAGTAAGAAAGATATTTCCAAGACATAAAAAATTAACGTACACCGAGATAAATTAAAAATTTTAAAAAACATTTACTTCAGTTAACATATAAATACTGACGTAAAAATGATTTAATAATAGATAAATTTTCATATAATGATTATATGCTTATTATTATTTAATACAATTTAATAAAATCTTTAATAAATTTACTTAATAATAACAACATATATATAAACTAAATATACAGAACATCAGATCTAATTTACTATTCCTGTACATTTAAATACAATTAACACTTAGTTAAGACATTTTAATAATTTATACATTCTGAGACTGCGTTTAATTCAATAAATTTTATATTAAGTCTCCATCTATTTTACTTACATATAATAAAAGCAAAGTATACATCGATTGAACTGACAGATAGCATTGTAGTACACAATTAAGTATATTTTTTATTTGGCATTGCTACATTGTTATTTTTTTTTTATATTTTAAACATATTATTCATGTATATTTATTAACTAGTATTTATTGTTTTATAAAAATATAAGAAAAAATGTTTAAAAACCTCTTATTACATCTTGTGTGTAATGTTAAGCATTTTTGCTAAATATGGTAGAAATGAAAATTGTCTATTAATATTCTATTATTTATAGGATTTATTTTTCAAAAAAATAAATAAATCTGGAGCTATGAGATTTTGCCTAGAAGATTACTATCATAAGTAACATATGATTTCCTTTAATAATACGTTTTTTCTTTCCGACAAATTCAACCTTGAAGTTTATTAGGTAGGAGATCATTAAGTGTAAACATGTTCATACAAAATTAGTCGAATACGTCAGTTGGGTATTTTGGTGTGATAAACATAAGTTATTTTTCGCAATATACCCTTTTTATATATAACCTAGGAACTCCGTAAAAAAATATCTTGTGAATCAATATCAAATATCTACACTTCGTCATCAATAGGTAATAATTTATTTACAAATTAAGGAAAAATTAACTCTTATGACAAAATTATCAACTTAAATAAAAAAATTACTTTATCTAAGAAATTTTTAATAATTTAAAATATAACGAACACATAATATAAAATATATAGATTAAAATTAAAAATAATAAATTTGCTTATTGTATAAGTAATTGATTCTTTTTTTCAACGATATTGTAAATGATTTTACTCTACAACATATGGGTTCAAAATGTGTGTAAAAATGTTAACTATTTTTTTTATGACAATGGTTTAAAAAGAAAATAAACGTTACAAGTTTAATTTTTTAAATATTATTTTTCTAAATCTAATTAATTTTAATAATTAAAGATAATAATTTAAAGATTGAATAAATATATTTTGTAAGTAGAACCGACCCCAAATAGTTGGAATAGAGGCTAAGGAGACGATACAAATCTCTCTAAACCTTTTATAATATGCAAAGTGAGTCTTTTATCATAGACCACTTAATTAATCGAAAAATAAAAAATATTGAGAATTTTATTTTGAGTCCTTTTAGTCACGTGTTTTGCTCAATTATCAATCCATAAAATGTTTTTGCTTATCCTTTATACATTATAAGGGTATAAACTTTATTTTTTCTAATGGCAACATACATAATAGATAATTATCTAATTAAGATAATTACTGGCCGATAACTTTTAGACCAGTATTTAAAGTTATTAAGAATTTAAAGTAATTGCTAGAGATGAGGCGCGTATTTTATAATTTTTATTACTAGACATTAATAGACCTCACTTTACTACTGTATAAGTAATAAAATGTTAATAATAAAACTTCCAAAATGCTTAAAAAAAAAATTAACTACAATAAATCAAAATTTAAATTCCCAATATTATATTTATTTTTTTATTAAATAATTGGTCAATGATAAAAGTATTATTTTTTAGTATATAAATGATATTTATTTATTAATCCATGTTCATTGAACATTGTTCATATCATTGAAGTGACTTTTTAACTCATACCTAAGGTGAAATGTCAAATTTTTTCAATAAATTAATGAAAATAGAATTAATGAATTTAAAAAAATAAGCAAATTACTAAATGACTCTTAAGTGGATCTCAAAGTACTGTTTTTACGCTTTCAAAAAATATAAACAACAAGTAGTAACTCAATTATGTGTTATTTATGTAAATACTGGGGTCAGTATCAGGTTATATGATTATGAAGTATACAAATTACAACAAGTTTTAACTTTTTTAAGTTATCACACTGACAGGTATGATTTTCCAGTTACGCATCTAAGCTAAAATGTGTTATAAAAACCTGCTTAGTTTAAGAAAAAACAAATATGAAAAAATAAAAATGAATATTAACTTAATCATATAAACATATTTTACCGCAGGGGTTCGTATGTTTATTATAAATAAGTTTTACCTTGAATTAATATATGTACCAATTATTTAATGAAAAAATAAGGCATAACCAATTATTTTATATTGTTATTATCTACAAACGTGTTTCCTCTTTCATATCTACTAAAACCCGTGTTTATAAATACATCTGCGTACTAAAACATAATAAATAAAAAAATATGCTAGTGTTATATAAATTATTAGCTATATTTATTGACTTAACATGCTATCTTATAGAATCTAATTTATCATAATTCATTTTTAGTGATTTAAAAATACTGTGGCGTGATTTTAAAAATATTTATTTAAAATAATTGATAAATATTATAATATCTTAAATTGATTCTTTCGGATATACTAATTGTTTTTTTAGCTTCGATGCGAAGCTGAGAAGTTATTGGTTTTACTAAGATATGTTTTTTTTTTTTTTTTTTTTTTTNGCGAAGCTGAGAAGTTATTGGTTTTACTAAGATATGTTTTTTTTTTTTTTTTGTGTCTGTTACCACTTTTTCTCAGCTCTAACCAAACCGATTTCTTTCAATGATACGTCAAAAGATCACAAATCGTATCTAGCCGAAGACATTACCCTCAAAAATTGAAAAAAATTCCCTCGTTCCCCGTAAATGGGGGAAACCTCCAAAAAAGTTACAAATTTAAAAATCGCTAACTTTCGAAATTTTTTCAATTTTTTTTACTTAAAATTGCTATAACTATTTTAAAAATAACCAAATTAATATAAATTTTTTTTATATAAATGCATGATATCATTACCTTTTATTTGGTATATTTTTTTTTTATATGTGACCCTTTACTTGCCCACAGGGGGGGATTTAAAATGGCAACTTTTTCACAAAAAATTTACTTTTTCAACTTAAATTTTGAAAGTATTCCGGAAAGTCTGACACTTTTATATATCCCTTAAATTAAAGCTATTATAATTTACTTTATTATGCAAAAAAAAAATTCGGACTTTATTTTATCTTCACGTTGAAAATGGCTACCAAATGCTATTATTGTGTGAAAATTCTCGATTTTATTTTTTACATTTTTAACTTTATAATGCTTTAACTTATTGAAAAGTGCATGGATCAACATCATTTTTTTATGAGAAATAATATTTTTTAATAATCCCTTTTTCATTTGACATACTTTATCTTAATTATGGATATTAATAATGAACTAGCAGATCATGTAGCTTTTGGAATAATCCATCAATTTTTTAAAATTAAACACTATCTAAAGATTTGCATCGAAGCGTTTTTTTTTTTTATAGTGATTTTAATCACTATCAGATATCATTATACTTGATCCATCTATGCCACGTCACCACTGTGCCGCGACCCCCCTGTGTGGGTTTTTTTTAATTTGTAAAGAAAATAGTCTTATAACTATTAATTTACTAAATATTACACTTAATAATAAAACTTTATTATTATTTTTTCTTTTTAATCTTCTAAAATCAAGTTAGTATAGAATTGTAATTAAAAAATAAAATTTGTTGTGGAATTCATAATCAAAAAGTAATTTAAATTAAAAATATTACTCATGAGTAGATGTATAAGTAATAAAGTGTTAACCAAAAGAAAAATTGATACCTTTATGAGGTTTGTGAGAAATAAGAAAAAACATAAAAAATATTTAATCATATATAAAAAAAAAAATACATAATACTAAACAAATTAAAAAAAAAAACAATGTTCTAAATTATTATTATTTTAGAATAATTTAATAAAACATATAATTGACAAATTTGAAATATTGAAAAAAGTCATTAAAATTTGTATTTAAGTTTTCATTTTATCCTCTTCTATCGAAACTTGAAACGAATTTTACTGATTAAGGTCTTGTTAGAATCATATAGACTAGATAAGTGCAGTGAAGATTTTTATAACTCCATCTTTCATAATTCATTTGCCAGAGAGCTATGAATTTAGATACAACATAAAATCTAATCCAATTTAAATGTTATATTCTTTTGATATTAATATCACAAATATATAATTTAATTTACAATTGCAGTTTAAAAAAACTTAACTAATATTTTAACTTAATAAATTTATAAATGTTTATACGAAGTGCTAATTATTAATTTTCGAATTAAATTTGATTTCCTACTTTTACTTTACTTTTAACTTGGGCTTGGAACCTAAACAATTTTTGAGTCATAGTACAATTATGGTTTCTATTTTTTTAATAATTTTAGTTTCAGTACTGGTATGGAGTTTTCAGTAATAATAATAACCAATTGATAACATCTCTGATAGTATTGCATTGTATGCAGGGTCATTTTTTTATCATACCCCACTCAATTACTTGCGGAATATATATAATTTCAACATTTTTTTTTATTGTTTTCTTTAGTTACACACTATTCTTGAATTATTAACTATTTAAAACTTTATATATTCATCCCTCATGCCTTTTAAGGTCTTTTAAGGGTGTCAACTATGTTTTTTTAAATGGGAACACATATTTTGAATTTAATAAAATGTTTGAGTTTTTAATTTAATAGTAAATGGCATTTGAATTTTTAGTATTACTTTATATGTTTATTAGATATAAACACTTAAAGTTTCAAATTTTTGAGTTAATATACATGTATAATACACAAGGGTTTACAAATACAAGTAGCTAATTGGTTTTTTATGACATCGATATTAGCAGGTACACAGCATTATTATTATCAATAGTAGTAAGGCACATTGTTGTGAATTTATAAATACACTAACTGACAATAAAGAAAGTAAATCTATTGATAGTCATAATTGATAATAAACAATCCGTGACTGTGACAGCAATGTCATAAAAAACCAATTAGCTACTTGTATTTGTAAACCCTTGTGTATTATACATGTATATTAACTCAAAAATTTGAAACTTTAAGTGTTTATATCTAATAAACATATATAGTTATACTAAAAATTCAAATGCCATTTACTATTAAATTAAAAACTCAAACATTTTATTAAATTCAAAATATGTGTTCCCATTTAAAAAAACAAAGTTGACACCCTTACCAGGTATAAGGGATAAACTTAAAAAGTATTACATATTTATTAATTCAAGAATAATATGTAACTAAAGATAACAAAAAAAAAAAACGTTTAAATTATTATTACTCTGTAAGTAATCGAGTGGGTTGTGATAAAAAAATCACTCTGTATATTAAAATGAATAAATGACAAAAAACATACCCTACCTTGGATAGGGTATTGCTAATAATTCGGACTTAAGTTTAAATTAACTTAACATACTTTCTCCAATTATTTTTTATTTAATTATCAAAATATTAGTACTCCAAATTCTCTATATTTTATTTTTATTTTTTTCAGAATATAATATCATGAAGCATAAGATTTTTATTTTGGTAATTTATGTAGCAGTTTCTTTGGGAAAATCTATTGACACTGCAATGAGGCTACAAAAGATTTTTAATAGTAAAATTTTTCTTTTTGATGAAAATGATAATTCAATTTCACATCCATATTCTGAATTCATTGTAACTAGCTATTATAACTTTACTGATCACTCCACTTATCAAAAAAATACAAAAGATTATGACTGTTGCCATGATAACAGTGTTACTTTTAGTAATACAGTAAAAACCGAAAAACAAGGCAAATTTGTAAAAGATATAAATTATATTTATCCAAATATATCATATTCGAATTTCATGCAAACTATTAAGAATGGCGTAGATACACTTTACGATGAAGACATTTACATGCCTGAATTTAAAAAATATCATTTTAGATTAAGAAATAAACTAACAATTCCAAAAACGTTTTATGACAAAGATATTAGTTATACTTCGCATAAAATTTGTGGATATTATTGTTATACCAAGTATGTGTCTGGTAAACGGTTTCAACTTATTTGTGATTATTTACAGTACAGAATTGAAGATACGTCAGATGGTTCAACATTAAATGTAATTGAATGAAAACACTTTAATTAATTATTTTATATTTTGTAAAATGTATTATATGATTCATAAATATTGTAATGTATAATGTTTTAATGATATAATTTGTTTTAAATAAATCATCAGGACACTCCACGTTTATGGTAAAGTTTAATATCTCTGAAATTTTATTTTTTTATACTAAAATTATTTATAAATATTAAGGCTAGACCGATATGTAATTGATATTAAATATATTCTAATATACAAAATATCAATTTTGATGGAGTCGGTTTTTGTTAATTTGATATTACTAAAACAAGTATATAAATTAAATAATTATAATTTTATATGCACGTATAAATAATATACATACAATAAAATTTTTCTTGTAAGTATAGTTTTCAGTAATATTGTATTGAAAATATTTAAAAATATATAATGAAGGTTATTACCCAAATCATCTTAATTTTTAATTTGAATGTAAAATAATACATTTTGGTGAGATTTTGTAATAAATTTTTATAGAAAACATAATTATTTACAAATTTTTCTTTATACATTATTACCATAAGTTTAATAGTTTTCGGAATAATTTGAAGAAACTTAAAAAATTATACCATACAAAAATCAAGGTAATTCTTTTAATGCTAGCCACTAAATTTCTCTTAAAATAAAAATTTTTTTTTGTGGATTTTTATTTATTATTTTTTTTGTTTAGCATTTGTTTGTTACTTATGTAAATCCATTTAACTGTTATAAAATATTTTTTATGTTCATATCATATGTACTTTAAAGGTGTCAATTTTATTTTATGAAATTGAATCATACATATTTAACTAGATTATGAAATAGAATATGATCTAATTACTAAAATTACTGGTCAATAACAACTTTTGGAGCATTTCTTTGAAAAATATTCACAATTTCGCATCTAAGCGAGAGAAGGAGAGCAGCCGAGATACGACTAATGACAAAAATAATAACATCCTCGACTCTTCTCCAGTCTATATGTTAAAATGATAATATTTTAGAAATTTAGAAATACGTTTTTGTTCTGAAAAATTTACAAAAATGGACTACACACTTTTTATTACGTACCCTTCAAATATTGTAATAATTTAGATACAAATTTAAGACTTTAATTTTGCTTATTACAATATACGGTGAGCAATAAAAAAAAAAAATTATGATTTCTGGTTCTGATACCAATTAATATATTTTATATTTGTTTTAATGTAGTTTTTTTAATCAAGGTTTCTAATTTAATTAAGATAATTTAATAAATTCCAGCTATAAGGAGTGTTAAAAATAATTAAAAGTGCAACTTGAAGTTTAACAATTAGTCAATCTAAATTATTAACTATAAATAATTATTCAGGATAAAATAATGCCTGTTCATTCCGTAATATACCTGCTACATCAAACGCCCAGTTAAGTGATGTTAAAAATGTATCTTCTTATCACTTCTTCTATGCGAGGTCTAATAGATATTTCTTTAAAATTGCTAAACTTTGCATAAAATTTAAAAGTTATTTGGAAGACCATGTGATGATTTTAAGCTATCATATTTAAGTTAATTTCTTCGCGATGTCCAGATACAGCATTACACTACAACTTTTAATTCTTCATTAGTCAATCTTATTTAGGGTCTTTAAATTAATAGATATTTAACCTTTTCCCTTCTGAATCTAAACATTAATAAAAAAAACAAAAATATTTTATTAACAATACTTAAAACTTTTAAGTATTGCTAGAAAGTTTCTTTTAAGTTAAAAGAACTTTCTAATAATATCTCTAGATTTAAACACTAGTATTAATCGTTTAGAACTTTAGTAGATACACAATATTGACACAATAAAGATCATTCAAATAAATGTTATTAAAGTTATTCCTAATTACAATATACATAAACATTGTGTAACTGAATACACATTTTTTTGAGTTAAGGTAAATTTTCCGATTAATTTTTTAATAATATCGGTTTTGATAGGATTTTCGAGCGAGTTATAATACTAAGCAATGTTTTACACGACTAATGGAGAAGATAATAAATTTTTTAAATTTTGTAATTGCAATTAAGTTTTCATAACTTCGATATTATAATATGTATCTAAAATATGTTGTTTAAAATAAGCACTAACTTTTAACATTTCTGAAGTTTAAATTATTACATATTTATGAAATAAAAATATTATTCTTAGTAGACTACTACTAGCGATGTATCATATGGCAAAAGAATAAATAAAATATTATTAACCTATCTGTATATCATAACTTTATTATTATAGTGATAAATTTTCCATGTTTTTAGTTACTAAATCTAAATTTTAATGTCAAGTACGTTATTACTCATATTTATGGTTAGAATTTATTTACTATAAAAGTTAAATTTTTTTTATGTGTTATAAGTTATTTTAAATTATCAAAAATTACCATAAAATTTTTTTCAATAAAACTTTTTATAACAAAATATTAATATAAAATATAAAATTATGTTATGATTAATTTATGAATAATCAGTATTATTATTAAAAATTATTATTGAATTTAATGTTAATACATTGAATAGATAATATTAAATACTCTATTTAATTTGTAGATAATCAAGTAATTTTATACATTTTTCATATATACAAATTATTCTTGTATATATAATCAACCCAATGGCAAATTATAATCTACTTGTAATATTCTTAATGAAATAATAAAATAAAAATATTTGAAAGTAGAAAAAATTATGTGTATTAATTGAAAATTTTCAATACTTGAAAAAAAAAAAGTTACAACATAAATTTAAAATTATGCTTTACTATTATACATCATTAAAAAATATAATTTTATGTTATACACAATTGTTAAGAAAATTTCGTTTGAATTATAGGGATCACTATTTTGCAAATTTTAAACAATTTTGGTTTTAAAACCAAATTAAAGTTTTATTTGTAGCTCAACAGTCTTAAATCCTAAAGGGAATATATGAAATCATAATCATGTTTTTGAATATCAAAACATAAATACCAAATTTTAAACATTTAATTTAACTAATAATGCTATAAATTATATTATAGAATTATGCAAAGTATACTCCGAAGATTTATTATTTTTATTGGTATATTAGTTTTGTTAGTTTAGTCCTTTGGCCAAAATTATTAAATCAAGAGTATGCTTGAAGAAGTGCCAAAAAAGTGATTAAAATAATTACTTAAGATAATATATTAATGAAAATAGTTTTTGTGACCTCTAAATAAAAATAAAACGCGCAATATGTTATTTTAGAAAATTAAAATTTATTTGTATAATTTTATTATTTCATCTCATTGGTTTGCTATTAGGAATGTGGCATATCGTCAAAAAATTATTTTCATAATATGATAGTCAGTTGTTTGTTAGTTCTTATACGCTCTATTTGCTAGAAAATCGACTTAAATTTTTTTATATCAATTAGAATATTACACAAAAACTTATATTGTTTATTGAGTAAGTAAAATGTTTTAATACTATTGTACTAAAATAAAAAAGGTAGATGTGAGTAATAAGGTCTACCTTTTATTAAACCTAGTAATGTAAGCCTGAAATTTTTTTTTTCATTGAAATTTCCAGAAAATATAAAAAAAATATGGGGTTTATATAAAATAATAAAAATTATGTTAGTAATTAATAGGTTTTACAGTATCACAGATGTTTAAACTAATAGTTATTAATAATAACTGTTATTATTTTAAAATTAAAATTCTAATAAATATTAATTTTTTTTAATAGATTAATTAAGAAGGAGTAAGTGGACGAATTCAGTATTTCTCAAGATCAATCACACATTATTATTAGTCATTTATAAACCGTTTTACTCCTACTGGCTTTGTATAAAAATTCTAATATTTTTTAAAATACACATCAAAAGTTGTTATTGGCTAGACAATTTTTTAATAAAATTGTTTTTTTTTATTTTAAAACGTAAGCGGATAACATTTTAAAGTGGGAGGAAGAGGAAGGATTAATTTTTTTTTTTTTGAAAGTTGTAAGACATGAACAATTAAATTCTGAAATAAAAAAATATATTAATCATATAAAATTAAGTCTCTAGTTATAATAAAATTGCGTAAGTCATAATTGAATAATAATTGTTAAACATGATTAAATTAAATCAATTTAATTGAATAATAGTAATACAAACTTGTAAAAATACTTTATTACATATTATATGTTTATATAAAGAAATAGTTCACAAAAATCTGTAGTTTTATTTTTCAAATAAAAACATGCATTTTTAGTTATTTGTCGTATTTTTATTTAGTCAATGACAATTTTTAATAAAAAAAAATTAATAAATAGTAAATATTAAAAGAGAAATAAAAAATTTTGTGAAAATTTATATTACTAATTAGACCTACTACCCACATCTACCTTGTAAGACTAAATAACTACAGTACGTTTTATGTATATTTTTATTTTTCAGATACAATTAATCAAATAAGAAATAGTCATAAACTTTATATAACAAAAATTTATCTTAATTATAACAATGAAGCATTTCATGTTAGTAATATTAATATTTAATGTTTATTCATCAAGCGAATTCATCGATACATCAATTAGGTTGCAAAAAATTTTTAATAATAAAATAATTTTATTTGAACATTTTAATAACACTATTTCTCATCCATTTTCTGAATTTATTGTAACTGGTTATAAAAACCAAACTATTCACTCTACTTTTAAAAACAACACAGTTGATTTTAATAGTTATCATGATAACAAGATAACTTATAACAATGTTATTAAAACGTACCACGGTCAATATGTGTTTGGCATAAATGAAATATATCCAGAAATGTTAAATTCAAATTTTTTGAATGCTATTAAAAATGGAATAGAATCATTATACGAGAATGATATTTATATTCCTGCGTTTAGTAAATTTCACTTCAAGTTTGATAATAAATTGAGTTTACCTGAAGAATTTCATAATCAAGACATTGATTACTTATCACATAGTATATTTGGTTATTTTTGTTTTACTAAGTTTGTATCTCTAACTCAAAGTCAGCTATTTTGTGATTACTTGGAATATAGAATCCAAGATACAATTGATGGTAATTCGTTAAATGTGCTTCAATAACTAAAATATTTTTCGTCTTTAATTTACTTAACAAAGAAATATTTAATCAAAACCATCATAAAATTTATTACTAGATGTATTTGAAGCTAATATAGTAGCTTTACATTAACTTAATCATCATTTTTTTATTCTTAAAACTTAAATAATTTCTGCTAAAAACATATATAATTTATTTATCATAGTAAATTGATTTTATTTTTAACTCGAATCTAAAAGGCACAAAATTTATGTAGTAACATTTATGTTACTTAAATTGTTTCATAAATGTACTAATTTCGCCAAAAGCCATTTTTATAATATAATTTATTTGTTATATTTAAGATTGATTACTTTATTCTTTTGTAAGATACATAATATAACTATAAAATTTTATGAATTAATAAATTTGTGATGTATATACAATAAAATTATTTATAGAATATTTTTCAGGATTGTACCCATTTTAACAAAAAATATGTTATAATTTGTTTTTTTGTGTGTGTGTGTGTGAAATAAATATTTAATGTAATTTTTTATACGTGTTTTTATTGCACTCGATTATTTAAAAATTATTTTTTTAAATTTATATTTAATAATAAAACTTAGATACGAATTTTGGTGACAACATTCAATATCTGACCTAAAACTGTGTATTACTATTATAGGAAATAAATTCTAGGGTGATCATTTTGCATTCTAATTATTACTTTAAAATATTAAATATATTGACTTAAATTATTAACTGGAGCAAATTAATTAGTCATAATTGTTTATTTTTGTAATAAAACTTTAATAATAAATCATTATCCTTTTAAAAAAAAAAATTAATGATTTATTATTTTTTAACTTTAATTTATGTTTTAAAGAGAGCTTAAAACTGCATTAGCTCATTGTCCTTTTACTGAACATGAAGGTGAAATACTACTATTATATTTACCACTGAATTGATCAATTCACTGTTCCCTCTTTTGTCGTTTTCTCACAACTATTTTGTCCATGTTTTGATGTTCCTTCAAAAACTTCTAAATTCAATTTGAATATATCCAAATGTGAATGCAAATAATGTAGTATTATAGTCAAAAATAACAATCATTATGAAAATATATGAACACCTTAATTTGGTTGTAGAAGTTGTCGAAAAATATTAGAAGGTTAGTTAAGAGGTAATCGTCCGAGTACGTTTTCTATACCTCGAACATGGAGGGCACCCACAAATCATTTATGATGATTGGCAATTATATTCATTACAAATAATGTAGCAAACTTTAAAAAAGAATTTTTGAAATCCTCATAAAATTTTCTATATATAAAAAATTGAAGTTACAGCAAAAAGTTCAACTTTGTATATACCTGTATTTATGTTACTACATCTTTTCAAAATTATCTATATAAAAAGAGTTAAGTGCTATTGATATCCGTAATAATGGAGATGAGGAATATTAGAAAATTGTACACAATATGATTTAATAAGAACACTAGCTAAATTTTTTGGTACAATACTGCTTTATTTTATTGAGATTTTTTGTGTAGTTTTATTCATGTTTATAGACCATGATAAATATCAAGTTTATTGTAAAAAATATATATATATTCAAAGTTATATAAGATATTATAAACTTTTATTTTAAACCCCCTGTTCTAATAATAATGATTAAATTAAAAAAAAATTTAATTGATTGTAGTACACTAAGTACTTATAGTATTGCACTGAAAATCAGTAGTTAAAAACTAAAAAAATTGGTCTTGCACTCATCGAATAAAAAAACATGACTAGAACAAGATTTTACTCAATACTTTAACCTTGATAGCTACTGAGTAGGAGATCGCCTAATTATTTAAATTGTGCATACGAGAATTGTTTGTATCTTTAGACATTATCGAGAATGCTTAAGTGTTGTATGTAAGTTTTATGTTCATATTTCTATTTTCATATTTATTGACATTGTTGATTTTATTGAATTTATCAATTGAATTGTTGGCAATTGTGCATCATCATCAAGTTAGTAATAAATTTCTCGTATTTTATATTTTAGACGAAATATAGTGAATCATTTTACTTTATCATAATAATTCTNAGTTATTCATCATCTATAGAAGAGACCGAGACTAGTTGACACCGATCAATTGTTATCTAAATATTTTAGACGAAATATAGTGAATCATTTTACTTTATCATAATAATTCTGTACACTAGAGGTAATCTATCCTAAGTTACATTTTTTGAAAATAAGTAAACTATTTTTGGAGTGCTCATTAAATAAATATACAAAAAAAGTCTCATCTCATTTTCAAAAAAAAAAAAATTTATTTTAAAGTAAAAGAAATTTTTTTTAGGTTTTCACTAACAACTTAACTTTTATTTTAATTTTAATATTGAGCTTATTTCATTATGATAAATTTAAAGATTAAATTATATTCTTTAAAAATATGTGTATTATGTTATGTATTTACTTTAAAAAATAATGTTTTTTTTTTATTTTGGCGCCTTCAGGATATTAATTAGACCATTATATTTTACAGAATCTATTAAACATGAAAATTTATATACTGTCATTGTTTGCTTTTGTTGCATATTCATCGTGTAAAGTTACTGACACTTCAAAGAGATTGCAAAAGATTTTCAATAACAAAATTTTTTTATTTGATGATTTAGAAAATACAATTTCACATCCTTATACGGAATTTATTGTCACTGGATATAGTAACAAAACTATACATAGTTCTTATCAAAAAAATACCAAAGATTATGAAAATTATCATGATAATGACACTCGTTTTAGTAATGTAGTCACAACAGAAAAAGTGGACAGCTATAAAAATGAAATTAATGAAATATATCCAAAAATGTTGAATTCAAATTTCTTACAAACTTTAAAAAATGGAGTGGAAACATTATATGATGAAGATATTTACATGCCTGAATTTAAAAAATTTCACTACAGATTTAAAGGTTATTTAGAAATTCCAAGTAAATTTTATGATAAGGATATTAGTTATATATCTCACAGAATATTTGGTTATTTTTGTGTCACCAAATATGTATCCGGAAAACGAAATCAACTTGTTTGTGATTATTTAGAATATAGAGTTCAAGATACACTAGATGGTAAAACTTTAAATATCATGGAATAAAATGCATTATTATTATTACTGATATTATAAAAAACATACATAAATCCATAATTTAAAAAAAACACGTGTCATTGATTTATTAACAAATTAATTTTTTTTTTTTTTTATAGAAACTTTGTCTTATACAATTTGTTTTTAAATTTAATAAATTAAAAGATATATTTAATATTAATAGTATTATTGTTGTTATTAACTATTTTGTATTATTACAAAATAATTATTTTTGATACGGTATTTACTAAATCATGAAATTTCAACAAACAATTAATTAAAATTTATATTTAGGGAAGACCAGTTAATAAATTTTTATATTTTTTGATTTTGTATCAATGATATTTCTGATAGAGTGATAAAAAATCACAAATAGCTTCAAAAACACAGACTTTAATTCGAAAAACTTATTATATTTTTATTATTTACGGTGTTTATTTTATAAATAAAAACCTTAAAATAAATTTTGTGTTATTATTTTTTTAAAACGGGGTAAGTTGACTCAATACCTAAAATATAGTAATGAATCAAAAATATGTTAAGGAGTAATATTTTATTTAATTAAGGTTTTAAGTCTATACTGTGTCTTTATCTATATTTAAGTGGCAAATTAATGTGTGTCAACTTGTTATATTTAGATTTTCTTTTGTTTTAATCAACTCTTTTTATTTAAAAAATAATATCTCAAAATTTATTTTCATTTGTTGAAATTTAAATTTCATATGCTAAATTTTCCAAAAAAAGTTTAAATTTACATTTTTACCTTAAAATTACATTTGTATGTTAAATAAGTGAAATTTTAATAATGTGTCAAGGACTTCTTGAGAACATGATAAATAAAATAAATTTTATAAAATTTCTTGATAAATAATAAATCTATAACAATTTGACCTAGTCTCTCTTTTATAAATAGCAGTTTGCATGGAAAATGTACATAACTGAAAACAATTTAAAAAATAATATTATAAAAATATTATTATAACATTATTTAAAAAAAAAATGTTATTAGGAAGATTTTTTATTATTAAAATAATATCTTATTATGTATATTTTATTTGTATATATTATCATTATTATTAATAAATAAAAACTCCATTAGATCCGATTTAACTCATTGAATTTTCCATGGTAAAAAACATCACTATTAATTTTTTTTTTTATCGATATTTATAATTATATTAATACTTAATGAATACTATATACACTAAAAATATTATTTATATAGAAATAGCTATTTAGTGTTACAACTTATTATTATAATTTTAAGAATAAGAAAATATTAATTTTAAAAATTTAACTTCTTTTCTATAAGAGGGTAAAAATGTAAATGAGTTATGCAGAAAAAATAATAAATAAAATTCTAAATAACATATTTAAATACGTTAAAAAAAATTATAGCAAAATTTTAATTGTACCCAAACTTATGAGACCTGTTAGTTGAATCTGTCCCACTCTATATATATATATATACAGAGTGTTCAGTAAGTTAGGAAACAGTTAAATTGTTACAAACAATGAGTACGATAAAAATTCGTTTCCTTATTTACTGAACACTCTGTATAATTATTTTAATCCGTCCCGAAATTTTAAACAGGATTTTAAATCAAAATATTTGAAATTTCTTTCATATCATTAAAGAAATATAATTGATGTAGCTTTTAGAATAATCTATAAATATTTTAAAATTAAACATTTCAGTTTTGCATCAAAGCATTTCTTATGATAGAGATTTTAATTAATGTCAAATTTCAATCTACACCAGTTTTCAAAATGTCTGGTACCTACAACTTCTTCCTTTTAATTGTATTAGAAAATAGTACATTATACACATAGTTGTAAAAAATACTTTTAAAAAGTATTTTAAATAATGTTCAAATATTCAAAAAAAAATGTATTTAAAATACTATTTGAATACTTTTCATACAAAAGTATTTGAGTAATACTCAATTACTTTACAAAAGTATTTCAAATACTAAGAATACAATTAAAAAATAATAATAATGTTTTTATTTTAACTAAGAGCAAAAGGTTCCACCTAAATAATTGCCAAGAGGGTAATTTGAGTCAAATATTTAGTACTCTTAAATTAAGAGAACTCATTTATTATTTTCGATATTTTTTGTTAGAGATAAATAAAATTAATTATTGGAGACTAATCAGTGAAAAAAATAAATATTAGTACACGTGTAAAAACCTGTAAAGTATGTCTTACTGACAATAGCGTAAATACAATAGCGCAATAGGCTATTGTATTAAAAATAGATGTTTACATAATAGCATTTAGATAAGCACAATAATTATGTTATACTATAATGTAACATATAAAATAACAGAGAATTATTCTCAATTTTCATTTTGACTGAGTTTAATTTGCTTGCTGTGTTACGGTTAGCAAATTAAAAAAAAATATATATATTAATAGTACTGAATATTAAACAGTATTAAATACTAAATAATTGTATTTAAAATACTACTCAGATACTTTTTATTAAATGTATTTAAAAATACTATTCAATACCAATGAAAGTATTTGAATACTTTTATTCAAATACATTTACTCAAATGCTTTACGCCTTTGATTATAAATCATTGCTAATAGATATCACTTTATCAGTATTCTGATTTAAATTCTGTTCTACTACTTTTTTACTCTTATTAATTACTTATTTGGTAAAAATTAATATATTAGTTTATCAAAACTTTATATTATTTTTATTTTTTAGTAAATAACCTTATTTTAAAGTTTGTATGGATACAAAAATAATTTTAATGTCCCAACATTTGTCTTACTAGTTGAAATTTAGGGCTAGTTGATATGTCTGTATGTGAAATATAAAAAAGGTTTTATACTTTTTTGGTGCACAATAATTTTAATATTATAATAAAGGAAAAACGGGATAGTTATTATTGTGATCTATGTTCTAAGTAAAATTATTTTTGTAACCATAAATTATATGTTATAGCTTGACTTATTAATACTAATAATACTTACCACGTAGACCTAATAATGTCATCTAATTTTAATGGATTTTAATAATTAATTTGCATATCCTTGACAATGTAAATCATTAAGACTAATTTTAGTAATTAAAGTTTACTTTGATAAACAATTTTTTGTGCTCTTAAAAAAACAATAATGAAACAATACTAATTATTTTGCTATCAATTAAAAACAATTATTATTTTTTACACTTTTCGGTCCAAGGTCGAATATATCGATATACTACTATGTGTCTGATCTTAGATAGAATGGAAGCTGATGATCTAGTGGATACTTTGTTCTTTATATCTCATAGTAAAAATTAATGGCTGAATACTATTTTAAAATTTGGAAATTTTTAATTTTATAAAAATATTAAAGAAGTGTTTAAAAATCATAATTACATAAATATATAATATAATATAATTACATAAAATATACTTTATAATTTCTAGTATATTAATTAGAAATTCAGATTTAAATAAATATTTACACATAAAATGCTAATGCTTATTAGTAATTTACTCACACCCTTCACAATGTTATAAATACATAAAATCGTGTAAAAAGTAATCACTGCAGCAACTTTGTTTTATAAGATGGAACTAACCTTTAAACAAATGTTTATTACAAAATAATTAAAATACGTTTCATAGGGCTATTTATACAAAATTTTTAGGTTTGTGTTAATCATGAAAAATATTATGATGTCTTGTATTTACATAAGGCACTATAGGCTTTTGCACATAATGTACTTTAAAACTTAAATCAGATAATAATATTATTCCTAAATCTTTCACATTAATAACTACCTCTAGTCTAGTATAATCTATAAAATAGTAATTTATTTTTAGACAACGACACTGGTAAAATGATATAATTTACTTGAATTAACCGATGGACCATTATTAATACACCAATTAACAAATCGTTGAAGTCTTCTTGCAATTTAATACTCATTATGAGATTTTATTACCATAAATAATTTTTAATCATTAGCAAACATTAAAAATTGGCAATAATAAATTATCGCAGCTAAATCATTTAAAAAAAATTTTTAAAAATATTGGTGATAAGTGGCCGCCTTGGGTACATCAGATGTAACCGCTATAGGGCTGGATAAGTCGTTAAATAGTCTGACTACTAGAAATCGATCAACCAAATAAGAAGTTATACAATTTACTATTTTAATACTTAAAACTGATTTTCTAAGCTTATTAATTATAATAACAATAGATTACAATTTTAAACAGAACATGACATATTTAACTTGAAAAATACTATTTCTGATTTAATAGATATGTGTGTAACTAAAAAAAGTTTTAATGATAAATATATTATTTTCATAAAATTAACTGGTTTTACTAGTATTTTTGTCCTTGAAAATGGTATTTACGTACATTATACACACATTCACATTGTTATCGTGTGTAATTTAATATATGTGATAAGCTTATGTAGTATGAAGCACTTTATTCACATATTAAAGTCAGATATTAGTTGATATTTGACCGGTTCTATTGTGCCTTATGTCGTTACAAATAAGTTAAATCATTTTCTAAATCAATTTTAGATAAAATTTTGTTTTCTTGTATTCATTGTTGAACTTGTGTAACCCAAAACTGATTTAAGAAATGTATTGTTCAATCAACTGGGTTATACTGCAAAAATTAAATTATATATTTCTACATCATTAGACGAATTTTATAAAAAAAAACTTGTAAGTGATTTATTTTATAATTGTATATATATATTATATAGAGAGTTCTTATACATATGTCAGTTTTTTATTTTAATTAATTTGATATACATCATGGTTTATATAAAAATAAAAATAGTATATTGGGGAAAAATGGAGAATTACAGCTACTTTAGCAAAATCTTAAAATTCTGACAACCCATTAGTCATAAAATCTTACAATTACTAATTAAATATTAACATGTGAGGTACAACATATTAACATTTCAAATTTTTGAAATAAGTGTAATTATGTTTTTTTTTTATTAATTTTATACACATAGTTTTACAACTATATTTATTTAATAATTGATAAAATATCAAATTTACAAAAAAAAATGCTCGAGGATAAAAGATAGAAATTATATCTATGTTGCTTAACCTCAATCTAGTTTTTATATATTATTATACAAAAATAAAATTGAGTATACCAACAAAAAATTTTTTACCAAGAATTGTTATAATTTAATATTAGGCTTAACTTATTGAAAATTGTTTGTATAAATTACTTATGAAACACAATATAACATCGTCTCAATTTATTATTTAGATATTTTCCAATCTAAATGTTACAATAAAAGCTCCTTAACATAAGAGCTCTATAATTTAAAAAATAAGAAGAATCTTTTAGTCTACTATCCTTTCATGTACATACTATTAAAAGAATAATCTTCTTACATTTTGGTGCAGTTAAATTTTATATTTTTTACCGCCAAAGATGATGCTAATTATAATAGATTATTATTAAAGTGAATATATCAAATGTTTTAGACTTTTAGTGCAAATGATACATGTAATTATTTTAAACCATCAATTTTTTTATATAAATTATCTACATCAATATTATAAATTTAATATATAGCCTTAATAGTAGAAAAACCTATGTTATGTTGTGCATTAAAGGGATCAAATATTTAAATATAATATAGTTCATTAATCTAGTAAACCCATTTATATTAATGCTTCGATAATAATTATCTATTAAACAGATGATATTACAAAAACAAAAAAAGATGAACACAAAAAATATTTTATGGCAGATAAATGGAGATATATATGAAACTAACAAAAGCCAAATAATCGGTAGGACTTGATGCTCAATGAACATACAGGCCTGAGTGCATGATCAGTTCTTGCCCTCCTCTATAAAAACTAAAACTAACAAAAACCAAAAAAAAAACCACAAAAATTATTAATTTAAGAGTAATCGAGTGGTAGCATTATAAATGTTATTCTGTATTTAATAATGAAATATTAGATTTAAACATATTTTTTTTTTACGTGAAGCATTTTTTAATTGTACTTAATTGTATTAAGTAGTCAATTAACAAATTGGTAATAGAATTAAGCTGAGTGTACCAAATTTACGTGTTTGGTGTGACAATTCAAACCATTTTATACTTATTTTGTTGAATGTTATATCCTCATACAAGTGCTTTTAATGAGATTTAGTATTTCATTAATAGATTTTTTTTATTACGTTTCAGATATACAGGATGATTTTTTTATCATAACCCATTCAATTACTTACAGAATAATTATATTTAAACATTTTTTTTTTTTTGGTTATCTTTAGTTACACACTATTTTTGAATTATTAACTATGTAATACTTTTTAAGTTCATCCCTTATGCCTGGTAAGGGTGTCAACTTTGTTTTTTTTAATGGGAACACATATTTTGAATTTAATAAAATGTTTGAATTTTTAATTTAATAGTAAATGGCATTTGAATTTTTAATATAACTTTATTTGTTTATTAGATATAAACATTTAAAGTTTCAAATTTTTGAGTTAATATATAGGTATAATACACAAGGGATTACAAATACAGGTAGCTAATTGGATTTTTATGACATTGCAGTCATAGTCACGGATTGTTTATTATCAATTATGACTATCAATAGATATACTTTTTGTATTATCAGTTAGTGTATTTATAAACTCACAACAATATGCCTTACTACCATTGATAATAACAATTCTGTGTACCTGCGAATATTGATGTCATAAAAAATCAATTAGCTACCTGTATTTGTAATATCTTGTGTATTATACATATATATTAAGTCAAAAATTTGAAACTTTAAATGTTTATATCTAATAAACAAATAAAGTTATACTAAAAATTCAAATGCCATTTACTATTGAATTAAAAATCCAAACATTTTATTAAATTCAAAATATGTGTTCTCATTTAAAAAAACAAAGTTGACACCCTTAAAAGGCAAAAGGGATGAACATAAAAAGTTTTAAATAGTTAATAATTCAAGAATAATGTGTAACTAAAGATAATAAAAAAAAAAAAATGTTTAAATATATTTATTCTGTGAATAATTGAGTGGGTTATGATAAAAAAATCACCCTGTATATAGTGATTATTAAGTTTAGAATAAAATATTGTGGATTGCCAACATCAACTCTTTTTATAGTGCTGTGGCCACGTGGCAGATAATTTTTTTATTTACTCTTCATTTTATTTATTCTACAGCTATATTTATAGATCCTTCAGTTCGATTGAAAAAAATTTTCAATAATGAAATTTTTATTTTTAATAATCCTGATAATTTAATTTCACATCCATACTCTGAATTTATTGTAACTGGTTATGACAATGAAACAACACTTTACACGTATGAGATAAAAGACAATGATAATTACCATGAAAATTCAGATACTTTTAGCAATATTATTGAATATAAAAATGAATATATTTGGAATATTAATGAAATTTATCCTAATATGATAAGTGCAAAATTTTTCACTGCTCTTAAAGATGGAATTAAAAGAACCTACGAAAATGATTTTTATATTCCAGAATTTAAAAATTTTCATTTCAAATTTCACAATAATCTGGCTATACCTAGTAAATTTCATAATAAAGATATAAATATCTTTTATCATGGAATCTATTGATTTTATTGCTATACTAAGTATGTTTCAGGAACTAGACATCGGTTGCTTTGTGATTACTTGATATACTGGATCCCAGACACTGATGATGGTGTTTTATTAAAATTACGTTCACTATAAAAAATTATCCAACAATTTCCTTGTGTCAGTATAGTACTTTTAATATACATGTTATTTTTACTAACAAGTAGTATAATTTTGACATAAATTATTGAAAATTCGTATACTATTATAACATTTTAATCATTATTTATCAATAGTTTCTCTAACATTGTATACGTTAAAACACGTGTATGTGAAAATTCGGACATATATTTTAAGAGTATAATTATTTATCATTGATAATCACTTTTAAATTATTTTGTAAAAGGCTTAAAAAAAATTTGATTCTATAATTTATATATTCTACACGAAACATAAAACAGTGATTTAAATATTCATCTGGTGCATATTTAAAATTTAGTTCCAAAATAACAAGAACACTTTTGTGTTGACCTCTTCTATTATAAAAATTATTCTATAGTAATTTTACTATATTAAATTCAATAATAATAATTATAGTAATAGTTACAAAAATTACTGTAATATAATAGTAATTTTTATGATCTGCATAAAAATGAAAAGCCATTTAAGTAATTAAAAATTGTTTTACTAACAGCAAGTTTATTTTTTATAAAAAAATGTAATATTTTTATATTTTTACCATGCAAGTTAAAAAATATTAACACGAATTTTCTGTTTTCAATTATTTTATTGAAAATGGTACTATTAGAATATTAAGTAAAATAATGTATGAAAGGTCATTAAAAATTATTATAAGCATAAATCGTAAATTTGTCTAGCCCTTCTAAAATTAAAAAAAAAATTAGAATGGGGTCAAAATCATTTTAACCCATCTTTTTTTTTATAAGTTTGTGACTTCAAAAATAATATTCATTACAAAAATTTCTAGTTATGGCACTGATTTGAATTGTGTAATAAATTAATAAGCATTGTCGCAGACAAATGTTGAACTAGTTATGAACATAAACGAGTTTAAATACGCCAAAAGAGAGTATAGATGAAGTTGTAAGTTTTAAGAAAAGAGCATTTTTTATTAATTTTAAATATAAAATTAAGTTAAAAAAAGGATAACTAAAGGAAAGAGAAATAATGGGAGTTATCGCTGTTTATTCAGAAAAGCATTAAAATATATTTTAAATCAAAAAAGAAATTTTATGTATGACAAAGTTTCAACAGTGGTCTCTATAAGTGTCAATCATTATTGTCACATTGAAATAAGGTCAAGGCTACTTCATTAAAATACAATTTTGTTTTATATTATTGTTTAATTAAACTGATATAGTAACATCACAGTATCGCTGCTTAAGTGTTCGTACTAACTAACGATATTTATTCTATATTTATCTAGGTTAGCATAAAATATAATTTACTTATTTTAATATTAAAATATAATTTCTAACAATTTCGTAGACAATAATGTTTCGTACTATTTCTATATAAATTTTTTTATCCATTGATTATTTATTTTTATTTTGTGCATTTTATACTATTATTTATTAGTATTTTGTGTGTTTTATAAAAATTATGGTGAATGTTATTGTTACAATATAACTTTCTTATTTATTATGTTAATTAATAATAAATGTGTTAAATTTTTGTGTTATATTAATCAAGAACCCATTTTTTTATTGAATCATCCATCTTAGTGAATTAAGTGTTCTTATAATAGATATATAACAATTGTAATAATTATTTTTATGAATTTAAATTAAAAATATTCACCAATTAAAAAAATATAATATAACATGTTTTTTAAAGCTTTCAATACATATTATTATAACTCTACAACTATGTTTTATTACTATTAATTTATCTGCATAAAAGTACTTTAAAAAAATATGAAAACCACTCTTTTCAAAAATTGAACAAAAATGTTGTTATATTTAAAAAAAAATCAAATTTCATTAAATTTTCACTTGTAGTTTTTTTCTGTTTTAGAAGACTTGCCAGGCTTTCTTCTTAAAAAAATGTAAGAGTTACAATTTTATTTTAAAATAATTATTATCAA